ATTAGTGTAATGTGATGCTACCTGAAGTTTATTTGGATTCATTAGTGTACCGTAATGCTACCTGAAATTTAGTCAGATCCATTAGTGTAATGTAACTCTACCTGAAGTTCAGTTGGATCCATCCATTAGTGTAAAGTAACGCCACCTGAAGTTTAGTCAGATTCAGGTGGCTCGTGAGCCAGATCAAACGAGGAGTTGGAAATGGTTGTGTTTGACAACCTTGACAGCTAGTAGGATTAACTAACAACCTGAACAAGCAGAGCCTGTCAAATGTCACCCCTACCTCCCGCTGCTACGATGTTTAGCCTCAGCGCTTTCGCCCTTAACGTAAGGGCGTCTCTTCTTATACCTGTACACTTTATCCCTTAGCCCTGTACACTTTATCTCTTAGCCCTGTACAATTTGTCTCCTAGCCCTGTTCACTTTATATCTGGCCATGTACACTTTATCTCTGGCTCTGTACACTTTATCTCTGGCCCTGTTCACTTTATATCTTGGCCCTGTACACTTTATCTCTTAGCCCTGTACACTTTATCTCCGGCTCTGTACACTTTATCTCTTGGCTCTGTACACTTTATAACTTGATCCTGTACACTTTATCTTTTAGTCCTGGACATTTTATCTCCTGGCTCTGTACACTTTATCTCTTGGCTCTGTACACTTTATCTCTTGGATCTGTACACTTTATCTCTTAGCCACGTGCTTATGCCTTCTGTCTTAGTTATTATGCACACTTAACCAGTCCTCCCAAACACACCAATAAATAACCATTGACATGCACCCCCCCCTCTTTCTTGGTTCCCCTCTGGGCGCCCTTTTAAAACTGGGAAGTTATGAGTTGGCTGTCTCATAGATGACCTAATGCAGGTGTCAATGGACACATTGTGGACGGAAATGGCGTATTTTAATCTCAGTAAACAGAAGAAGTTGGAGCGACTTATTTCCAACTGTTTACAGATAGATGTATGGAAAGTTCGTATTTGTCCTTGACCCCCCCCCCCCCTAAAATAAAAAAAAAAAAAAATAAAGTTAAATTCCCCCCCCCCCCCGGTCTCCTTAGCAACGTTAGATCAATGTGGTGTAGCAACCAATAGTGTTGTGTCCAACAGTATGGTCATTATGACGGCATGATAATAGAAATGTTAGATCAATGTGGTGTAGCAACCAACATAAGATCAATGTGGTTAGCAACCAACATAAGATCAGTGTGGTGTCCAACAGTCTGGTCATTATGACGGCATGATATTAGAAATGTTAGATCAGTGTGGTGTCCAACAGTCTCGTGCATTCAAATTAGTACATTCAAAAGCAAGATCTTCTGTCGCAGTATGGAAAACTAGTTACCACGTTGTAATAGTGATAAACACTGATTTTAATTTCCCTGAAGTATGTTCTGTGAACTCAAATATTTCTGGTGGGAATTTACTTGTGGTGTGCCGCAACATTCTCGGAAGTGTCTAGGTGTGCCGCGTCATTCTCGGCTGTGTCCATGTGTGCCGCGCGTGAAAAAATGTTTCGGAGCACTGATATAAAGAATGGAGCCTAGGCCGAGCTCACCGGACAATGGCAATGTAAATGTGATGAACAATCGAACAGATTTAAGCGTAATCAATCCATTGATATCAATGTAGAAATCAACTGTAATGAAGTTTTAGATCAACTTATATCTTAAACAGACTATAACAGGGGTCGGAAACCTTTTGAGACGGAAGAGCCAAAAGTTACAATTTACAAAATTTACCAGTTTTTAAAGAGCCAATAACATTTTTACTTAATTAATTTTAATATAATTATTAATATTTGCGCATGGAACTGGAGAGCCGCATCTTGATATCAAAAGAGCCGGATGCGGCTCGCTCGCGAGCCGCAGGTTGCCGACCCCTGGACTATAATCATCATTACCGGTACTTCAGTAGATAATGCTAATTATAAAACGTGTTGGACTGCGATAAAGCTTTAAAATAGATTAGTTAGACACCAACAATTTGTGTCAATATAACAATATACGGTAAGCTTTAATAATAATTTTACAGAAAAACAAAAGTATACGTTTCGGCACATGCCGTCATCAGTACAACAAAAAGACAAATGAGTATCCATTAAATTGACATAATATCTATATACAGATATCCTAGCTAAAAAAAAGTGAGAGACAAAATAGGAGTGGGCGAAAAAACCAGACAGAAGCAAAGTAAAGAAAAGTGTAAAGGAACTCATAAAGGAACAACGGGTGGGCAGGTCTGGTGTTGAGACAACACAGAGACACATCGTCTGATAACCTTAATTAATGTCGTTTTTTTAAAATTATAAAATAGCCTGCTTTTACTTTTCAAAAGGGTTGGGTTTTTTTTATATGCAAAGGACAGACATAATTTTCTGAAGCGACAGAAACATATCACATACATTCCTACAGAATAACACCCAATGAAGTTATTGATTTTGAGTAAGTACATGCGCGTCTGGTGCCAACTAGTTCATTTCTATAATATATTCAAACGTATGCAATTCTCAATAGAGGGGAATTGTTATCTTACCTATTGGAAATAAGAAGGAATAAAAGAGAGAAGAGAAAAAAAAGGGGGGGGGGGTGGTGTTTAGACAATGTGAATATTGTCAAAATAAAATTTTCTATCACGTTGGCTGAGTGAGTTAATCCTCAATGTATTATTGAACCCAGACTGTGTTAATCTCATTCAGTGCTTTATACAACAATCTCATTCAGTGCTTCATACAATCTCATTCAGTGCTTCATACAATCTCATTCAGTGCTTCATACAATCTCATTCAGTGCTTCATACAATCTCATTCAGTGTTTTATACAACAATCTCATTCAGTGCTTCATACAATCTCATTCAGTGTTTTATACAACAATCTCATTCAGTGCTTCATACAATCTCATTCAGTTTTTCATACAATCTCATTCAGTGCTTTATACAACAATCTCATTCAGTGCTTCATACAATCTCATTCAATGCTTCATACAATCTCATTCAGTGCTTCATACAATCTCATTCAGTGTTTCATACAACAATCTCATTCACTGCTTCATACAATCTCATTCACTGCTTCATACAATCTCATTCAGTGTTTTATACAATCTCATTCAGTGCTTCATACAATCTCCTTCAATGCTTCATAAATCTCATTCAATGTTCCATTCAATCTCATTCAGTGCTTTATAATTTCTCATTCAGTTCTAAATACAATCTCATTCATTGTTATATTTAATCTCATTCAGTGCTTTATACAGTCTCATTCGGTGTTTTATGGTCTCATTCAGTTGTACATACAATCTCGTTCAGTTGTTCATACAATCTCCCATTGTTTCTGTGGTACAATTCGGATTGAACTATGCGTTGGGTTGGTTGACAAACCAATCTATTCTATATTATGTATAGTAAGTTGTCAGTGGGTTGTATTAGCTTTCAGTTCCACATTAAGGTTATCTTATTATCCAATTTAGATACATTGTGTGTGTAGCCCGGTACATAGGAAATTCTCTTGTTGGCCAATGGCAGTCAGTCAATAGCAATTTTTTCGGTTGGGAAATTGTGTTAGCAAATGTCTGTCTGGCCCGGTAATGGGTCGTTGGTGGCGTAATATCACGCGATATAACGAGTTATCTCGCCGGACAAGGGTCTGGATCAGGACAACGAAGTCAGATGTTTGACGTCTGAAAATTACACAATGTTGTGAATTTGGTCAAGTCGCGAAACTAATATCCAAAGACGTTACATTATTGTGACGCCATATTTAATTAAAGTAATTCGTTTTCGCTAAGGTAGCTGTAGACAAACGTTTGGCGGAGTCACTCCATGGGTAGAATCTAACGCAAACAGAATCAGACCTATGTCTAGATTGATGTATCTCTTTGTGGGGCATTAGCGGTCACGTAGTTGACATGGGGCAGAACAATGTATATCTTGTTCAAGACACCGTTATATTTGGGGGGGGGGGAGATTTGCCCCAACAAACATCAACGCTTTGGTGTGTGTGCAATTATTTTTTGAGAATTGGAAAATCTAAAAACTTTGAATGAAAAACGTAACTGATATTCTTTGGGTCATTAGTGAAGTCAGTTTTAGGGCGAACTGGGTGAGAGCAGAAGTCAACATTTTTAAAGGAGTTTATTTTTTTAATAGTTTATATGTCAATTACATGTCGATTTTTCTTCTTTTGTTTACGTCTTCTGCAATTCAATCTTAACTTGCCTGTGCTCGACTTTTTAGTTTGAATACTTTGCTCTAGTTATCCAGCTACAGAAATTTCATAAGGTCATCTCCATCCAAATGTCAAAATCTATATTTTATTTTGTCCACAGAAATCTCTGCTTCTCTATGTCCTAACGCCGCAGATTCGAACACCACGTGACAGCGTGACACAACAAGACATAGCTCACTGAAGACAGCATGTAGCGAATTCTGGAACCTTATTTATCATATTTAACATCTTGTTGACTGGAGCCAAAAAATCTCATGTTTAACGCATCTTTTTATTTGGAGCATATTTTCATCGCGAGGATGTAGTCACAGTTTACGTCAAGGAAACTCGGATATTTAGTCGCAGAAACTGGTCGCTGCCAAACGGAATCTAGTCCCATGCAACATGACGTGGCAGTTACGCTGATGTGAGGGGGAGTCATCTCGTACTGTACCCGCAAACTGCTGAGGGGACAGAATCACCGTGCTCTCCCCTAAATACTCCTCGTGTTTTGTTTAGATCTTTACTCCATAAGCCGCTGGCCTACTCACCATATCATCACCGACTGGTATTCAAGCACGTCATCTTTGACGCTAATCAGACACCCCCCCTCCCCCCCCCAATCCCTTCAAGACAACACAGATAATTTATATAGTACTGCAAGAAGGGAAAAAAAAAACTAACCCAGAAATACATTAGACCTTTACTCCATAAGCCGCTGGCCGCCCCACCATATCATCCCCGCCTGGGATTCAAGCCCGTCATCTTTGACGCTAATCAGACACCCCCCCTCCCCCCCCCAATCCCTTCAAGACAACACAGATAATTTATATAGTACTGCAAGAAGGGAAAAAAAAAACTAACCCAGAAATACATGAAACAATACACGTCGTATGTGGGTCGCATGGCGTGTGGTACTACCGTGTTTAGTCGTTTGGCTGTCTCTGTTTATCTGACCCTGACAGGCGCACAAGGAAATGGGCACCACGTGTAGTCAAGGGCCAACGCGGCATTCCCGTCTGATGGCAGGGTAGTCCGGTGCTGACATCCAGTCGGACCTAAGAAAGACCCCGGGGGGGATCGTTGGAGACCAGTTGTAGCTTGGAACCAAGAGCGGGCTCGTTAAAACATCGTCACAGTTCCTGCTCCTGTCTAGGAGAGGATCGATTTTCTGGAGGAGGGAAAACGTAATAGAACAGAGCTTGTGCTTTTTAAATTCCCTCTTTGGGCTGATTATCGACAACCTTGTATTCAGGCCACAAGACTGCAGCGATTTTTTAAAAAAATATTCCATAAAACTGAATATCTTGTTTTAAAAAAAAAACGAAACCAAACTGCCACGGGGTTTTCCCCTTTGTGGTTAGTTAACTCTGGATATTTTGTTCGAGGCACAAGCGAGTAGAACTTTTGGGGAACTGTATTTCTGAAGAGGTTGAAGACAACAGTGAATTCTGAAGTGAATCCCTTTAAGTACTTAGATGCGTAGCTCTAATTTGATTAACAGTAAACGATGAATCGTTGTAAGGTCAGCTGGTGAATAGGATTATACAGTTATTACTTGAACGTTCAGGATTACTGTAGACAGCTCATGTGCATCATTCTGTGATGGCCCGGATCTCACCATGCGGGTAATGGGTGGGGGCCATTCTGTACAAATTGTCATGGTAGGGCTAGAGGGGACAGGAAAGACAACTCTGTTGTACCGCCTGAAGTTTGGCCAGTACACCAGCTCCATCCCTACGATTGGCTTCAACTGTGAAAAGGTTGAAGTTCAAGAAGGCAAAGCCGGGGGAGTAACCTTCACCATTTGGGATATCGGAGGTAAGGATAATATGAGGCCACTCTGGAAATCCTACCTCAGGTCCGCCAATGGGATCCTGTTTGTGGTGGACAGTAGTGACCGTGAGGGTTTAGAGGAGGCTCGGATGGAGTTGGTCAAACTGGTCAAGACACAAAATCCTCAAAATATTCCAACACTTGTGGTGGCCAACAAGCAAGATCTGCCATCTGTCATGTCTCTGGACGAAGTGGCCAAGGGTGTTGGAGTGGATGAGCTGTCTAGGTCCCACCCATGTCAGATCCTCCCGTCCTGTGCTGTCACAGGAGAGGGCCTGGCGGAAGCCATGGATGTCATGTATGAGATGATTAAAAAGTGGAAGAAAGGGAAAGGCAAAACAAGATAGCACTGGACTAATCTTAGCCTAGAATAATGGTAGCACTGGAACAATAAATCTAGACTATGCTATAGTCTAAAGTTGATGGTTTCTTTATTTGTGAATACTGTACAAAATAGATGGAAATAATCATGTTAAAAAATAATAATAATATTCCTGTGCTATGATGAAATGAACAATTTGACAAGTCTAATGTTATTGGATAATGGCTGTGTGTAATTCAATGATGTGATTCACATTCATTGATTGTGTGTCATTCAATGTGATCTTATATTGCTTTGAAATCCTAACAGGATTAGATTCATGAATTAAGTAACTTAATTAATTGATTATTATATATTTTCTTCAACATTGTTATGAAGAAGCTCTTTGAATTATATTTTTTTAAAGAATTCCATTTAAAACAAACTTTGAACAAGCTGTTCTGTTATTTATAGGTATTAAAATTAATTTTTCTTCAACATTGATTTAGAATTTTTCTAATATTTATAGTTAAGGTTAATCAGATTCCACAGACTAATGGAACTGAGTGAAATCTTACCATAGCGTTCCAGTTATGACTATGGAACTAAAGTTTTACTATACCGTTCAAGTTAAAGGAATGGAACCAAAGTCTTACTGTAGCATTCCAGTTATGACAATAGAAGTGAAGTATGGTCATAGCATTCCGGTTAGGATAGTGGAACTGAAGTCTTATTATACAGTTCCAGTTATGACAATAAAATTGTGTCCCGTAATAAAGACTTGTTTGGGAAATGAATTTTTCTTGAAGTTATAATGGTTGATAGTTTTAGTATTTGTTGATAACAATAATTGAATAATGTTGTAAATATAACTGTTGCTTGAAGAGTTCAATATAAATTCATTTTCTAGTATTTTTTAATTTAACCATGAGACTATGATTTAATTGTATCAGACTATTTAACTGTATTTTTAAAGAAAATTATCATTATAGTTATTATATTTTAGTCATCACATGTTAATTGAACAGTTGAAGATATAATTACTATAAAAATAACTATATGTGTATAATCCTATAAACCAGAGCTCCACAGCCAGTGTCTTGTGGTACACCCTACCCCGAGTCTATTCTAGGTGTGCCGCTGCAAAATTTCGCCAAGGGGATGAACAAAATTTGAAGTCAATATAAACTTGTTGAACGATAATTGGCCAATCACCAAGCTGCGATATGCTGAATGTCAAATAACACAGCACAACTACACTTTTAAATTGGCGGTTCATATGACAAGTCACCATTTCAAAATGTCTAAAGCTCTTTACATAATTACATGTTCAATTGATATTCGTGCTTAAATAGTAAAAACTATTTAATGCTATTTAACTTGGTATAAAATCTACTGGCTCATGTTTATATCATGTCTGTAAGAAATTTTATTTGTGGTAAATTTTAATGCATTTAAAATGTTGGTAAGCTTAAACAACAATGCACCATTTTTTTCTTCATATTATGATTGTGGTTTGTCATGGAAATCTTGGGGGGTCTAAGTGTGCTGTGAGGGCAAAAATTTTGCAGAGCACTGCTAAAGAGAATCTTTTCAATAAATGACTGTTATGCCCTTGCTCTGTTGTTATAAAAAAAATCTATAATTAATCTTCTTCAGCAATTTTTATTCATGCATTGGTTGATTTGATTGTTAAATGAATGCTGAAGTGATTTCCTCTTATACTTGATTCCACATTTCATTGAGTGTTTTAAAATGGTTCTGCTGTTTCAGTAAAGATATTTGGTAAATTTACCCATGCTGAGCCAAAAGAAATGCATGACATCTATTTGAAGCTTGTAAAGTTTCCCAACCTATAGTATATTCTGCACCCCTACAAACTGCTTGAAAAAGTCTAGCGACCCCTACAAAAGTAACAAGGCATTTAAAAATTGAACAGAAAATGGACTTTCCAAAATGTCATTTTACACTACATAAGAGAACTGTAAAATTTAGAAAAAGAAATGTTGACTTATTACATTAAATTAAATTTTAAAGAAGAAACTCTGCCCCTGTTCCTATGATCACTTTTCCTGGCTGACCTTATAATCAATTTTCCTGGCTGACCTTATAATCAATTTTCCTCACAACCCCATGGATTATAGTATCTGATTGTCCCAATCCTTTACTCTTTTTTAGTTTGCTTAGTGAAAGTAACGTAATTTCAATTTGTAGAAATTGAAAATAAAACTTTTTTTAAAAAAATACAATTAATGATTTATGGATGGAGGGTCCCATGAGCAAGAAATTTGAAAACTGATGTATAACTATTATGTTGGAATAAGAGTTAAATAATTCATTTAATTACTGAACCATTCTGTTGTCATGGCATCAGATACAAATATGTTTAAGTTACAGTATAAGAACTTATACAGTCATGGGTGGGATGTTAACTAAGGAAATGCATGGTTGTCAATATGTGCTGTGAGAAAGGGTTGTCATTAGTTGATGTGCTCTTAGAATTAATCCAGTGTGAGAAGACTGTGAAAAGTTGCTAAACCTCCCTTTTAATGTACTCAGGTGTGTGTGTGTAGGCGGCACTGCATCTTTGACATACTATTTTTTTAACAAAGTATCTACTGTATTATGTTTTTTATGATACTGTCATTAGTTTTGACATTGTCAAGGATTGGAACTCTGGTCTTTGCCCTGCAACCACTGTTCCTAACTGAACCAACCACAAAGCTTGGATTATATTTGACCAAATGGCACCACAGGCTGTGAATGATTATGTAACTACAAAACGACTTTGACTCTATCGATCAGCCCGACTTTGACTCTATCGATCAGCCCGACTTTGACTCTATCGATCAGCCCTACAGTTGTACCTCAGGAGAATGTATATTTCCTAACACTTTGAGTTTTATTTGACAGGTTTTATTTATTGCTATTTATTTAGTTGGGGGGGGGGGGGGGTTTTTTTTCCTTTCCAGCAAGTGGGGGCGGGAATGTTATCACAGAAGTAATCTTTTAAAAAAAAAAAATGGAAAAAATTTTTTTTCTCTTTTCCATGTCATCAAAAAAAGTAATTTTTTTTTTTGTTATTGTTTTGGTGGGGGGGGGGGGGATTTTTTTCACTTCCAGCAAGTGGGGGTCGGAATGTTATCACAGAAGTCATCTATTAAAACAAAAAAATGGCAAAGATATTTCTTCTCATTTCCATGTCATCAAAGAAAGTAAGCGTGTACAAGCCAGTACAGGGGTTGCTTTCACGATATCTTTACCCCTGCTCTGCTGGAAAGCTGGTTGTTTTAGACATATAAGATATATTTCTACTAAACCAAATAATTTTTCAAACAATTTTTCAATCAAGCGTGCTCTGTGCTCAATTTGCTACAATTAAATTTCTTCACAAAGCTTGAAAGACAAAAATTATCAGAAAACTAGATTAAATTATTTGATTTTATTTAACATGTGTATGCTTTGTTTAATTTTTTTCCCACTAATGTAACAATACTATAACAAAATGCTTTGTTTTTGCTGGTAAAGATAAGGACAAGATGTCAAGCTAATAAAAATGTATTTGACATTCTCTCTTCTCTTTCTCCCCACCCCGCGCCCGCCCGTGTTATTTTTATGGCAAGGATTCACTACCCTGAACTTCCTCAAATGTCAACACTATACTTGAATGGCTAACCAATAGTCATGTTCGGATCAAGCTATATTTTATGAAATTGTTTTTGTTGTTTGTTTACATCTTCCCTTCTTGTGGCTGCTTGTTTTGTTTATTGTTTGTTTAGCTCAAGGAAATACCAGAAACTATGTGAGCAAAACATGGATTAGAAATAGGTGGACACTGTTAAAGAGATGCCACAGAGATAAATGACAATCACCAGTAGGCAATCTTAGGGGAAGTTTTCTAATTCCTCTGAAATTGAAACTGTCCGGAGATTTCTTATTTATTTTGATTATTTTGAAAGTTTTTCACGGAGGAGTTATGTTATCGAATTTAGATTGTTGAAACATCAAAAGGTCCTTTAAAATTCAAATTTGATGTTGAGCTGCAATCACAAAGAGAAAAACCTCTTAAGTTGTGTGTGTGTGGAGTGGGGGGGGGGAGGGAGAGAGCGAAACATTTTGGTTTAGTTACACAGTTCCTAAAATAATTAAAATGTCTACTATAGAAATAAAACTTGAGTAGGCATATTTACTGTAGTGATTGTATGGCACTGCAATTTCCCCAGTTCCTGGCACAATTGAAGGGTGACACAAATTGAAATTGAACATTTTTGCATACTTTAATGGGACTTGTTAAAATAATTGAAAAGGGTGGGGGGGGGGGGGGTTTCTTTTTTTTTAGGGTGACACAAATTGAAATTGAACATTTTTGCATACTTTAATGGGACTTGTTAAAATAATTGAAAAGGGTGGGGGGGGGGGGGTTTTCTTTTTTTTTCCTAAAAAGCAAGAAAACCTGGCAACTTCAATAGTACTTAGGTAATCACTCTGAAGGGTAGGCTTCTTTCTCCAAGAGGTAAAACTTATTTCATAAAGCCAAGAACAAATCATTATTGTTTTCAAAACATCATTGAATTTGATTGTCACATGTTTAAAAAAAATTATTCCACTTTCGAGCAAAAATCTCTGAAAAAATCTGTGGATACTACTGGGTGTGGTCCCAATCAGAAACATCTGCTAACTGTAAGCACCATCAATGGTAAATGCCAAGGTTTCTTCCAGTGCTCACTTATAAAGGGGGTTAAATGAGTAAATTACTACATGAAATGTTGGAACATGACCTTCCACATGACACGCAACATCGGTAAATGTCACCAGGAATATGCTTGAACCTTATTTCCTTTGTAAGTGATTCCCCTTTCCTGTTGAACTTTGTTATTTCCCCTACATCCAATTGTACCTTTCACAAGGTTGCTTAAAAATGTATGATACATGTTTCCAATATTATTGGGTCTCTATACTCTGTTACAATTAGAAGTTATATATTTAATAATTTATATTGGATTTTCACTAAAACGTTGTTCCTAAATGTAAGCAAAGGTTGGGAGCATCTAGATGAGATTTTAAATTGTTTGAATATTTAGTATGTCTCTGTTGGGCAGATATTTTATTACAATTTTACTCCATCTGAAATCTTGCAGGTATGAATCTGAAGTCTTGCACTACTTGCATATATACATGTTGAAGTTTTTTTTGTAAGAGTGAAATTTTTTTTTTTAAATTCTGAAATGAGCTCTTAGGAGATTAGGCTATATCACCAGAAAATTATTACATGAATATTTCCAATGTTTACTACTAAGTTATTGACATTGATGCTGTGCATCAGATATATGATGAGAAACCATTGTATTTAAAAAATTAAAAAAATGACCACTGAATTAAACTATAAATGATATGAAAACCATTGAGCTGTCTAGTTTCTCTTTCCCTGAAGTTGAAGTTTTATCTGAGAGTCCACAAAAGTATTAGTTCTAATTTATTGTTTAAAAATAAAACTATATTAAATTGGGATTTGCCAGTAGTGGGATAATCTGTCTTCAGTTCTTCAGCTTGAGTTCACAGTTGACATTATCATACTATGTTATTACATAAATTAATATAAATGACAGCTTGGGACCAGTTCTGAAGACTCATATTCAAGTTTTCATTACTGATGCTCAAGAATGAGATGATGTTGAAATTTGTACATTCTTTTTATGACTTAATACTTGAATGCCTGGAACATTTCTTACTTGATATATAGAAGCCATTATTTGTTTCCTGATGATAGATTGACATCATCTTATGACTTATTTGGCAGCATTTAGTAGGTTTTTATTTGTTTTACAAGATTCCACTTTTGAAAGAGTTTTGTTTTTAAATCAACATCCCATTTTTTTTAAGGGCAGGCTCTTCATTATACCAGACATAGTTTGCAATGTTTGCTGTTAATCAATTATTTTTGCATTTCAAGGAATGCAATTGAAATGTAATGGACTTCATAAACCATAGTCATATCATATTCTAATGCCCTGTAATAAACTTGTACTTACATCTTCATAACATAAATAATTTTTTACAATTGGTGATGGGGATTCCTTGCTAAATGTTATTTGAGTTAACTACTGCTAAACGATACATCGACCTCCCTCTGATACTCATTATAAATTGGATTTGTAATTTTAATTTATTAATTTTTGGTCTACTATCATGTTGCATCCGATTGCACATTAGTTGAGGTTGCATTCAAATTTTAAAGTTTGCCAGGAAGGCTTGAAATAATTGGAAATGTCATTTCTTTAGATAACTTTCTCTTGTGTATTGTATATGTTGGGTATTTCAATTACTATTTTTGACAAAAATGTATCTGAATCTTCTCTGTTAAATTTATGTTTATACAATTTATTCAATTGGCCATCAGAAAAATTATGAGACCAAGAAACAAAACTTTTTTAACCATTGTTTATAAAAATGACAAATTTAAATACATTCATATTTGACTTCTGTAATTTATGAAATTAGCAAACAAATGTTTTATGGCTTTACTTAAAATAAAACAGAATAAAACCTGCATCATCCAACCATATGACAAAGCTTGAGGGGAAAAGAATAGATTAGGACAAAATTGAAGTTACTTTTTCAAATGGCTATTTTGGATTAAACATGATTGAATTTTTTACTATCACTTGGGTCATTCTTGATTGGTTACATGTTGTTCTCTCTAGTATTGATGTTGAATTACCAATACCTAAAAAAATCTTATGTCGTGCTTCCAGTCTCATTTCCATGGGGCAACTTTTGATATTTCCAGACTCTATCCAGCGAAACAATTTGTCATTTGAGTCTGGATGTTTATTTTTCACTTGCAAATTTGTGTATGAAAAGTTATTTCAACTTGGATGAAAACCAAACAAGAGATGTCTTCACCACAGGACACAACAAACAGATTTTTTTCTATTTTTAAACATTTTCTGTTCATATCTAAGCATGGAGTTGAAGATATTTCTGCCAGCACCATTAATTTTAGGAGGGATATGATTTCCTTAAAACTTCTAACTGACATTGTGCTATTTTCCTTAGATTATCACTGCTTTATACAACCTTGTTGAAACTTGAAAAAAGCAAATCTTTTTTAATGAAACATCTGTTTCATTGGGCACACAGATTTTTTGTGTGAGATCAATACTGTATCTAACAAATAGAACTTGGCAACACATGTTCTTAATCCATTGATAAAAGGTAAGGTTAGTGAAGTAAAGTTCAAAATGGCTGTAATAGTAAAATATCTTAATGAATCAAATTATTATTTTTCGGTGAATATTTTATATTGAATAAGTATTTTGCTGAATTAATAATGTGATTCAACATTTAAATTTCAATTCTAAAAATATTTTATTTTAATCCAAACATATATTTTTAAGATGCCCATAAATGGAAATTAAAAATGAATTTTTAAATTCATCTTGGTTAGTACATATTTGTATAAATACCGCCTTCTTTGTTATCAATAAGAAAATGTATCTAGTTGGTCGGTCTTCATAGAAAGAGAGTGCTAAAAAATGAATATTTGGAGAATAATTGTTAGTAACTATCTATATGAGATATTTTCCTGAAACTTGATTCAAATACAGAGGACAATAAATTCCTAAACAGTTTTATTTAAAAAAAAAAAAAAAATCTGATAATTTGAAACTTAACAGCCTTTTATAAATGTCTGTATCGAATTCAACAGTGTTTATTCAAATGCATTAATGTGCAGATTGCAACAATATTTAATAACTTATTAATTTGTGGTAGCTTCACTGATGATAGTAGAGAAAAGAATGAACTATTTCTTGCACAACATTTATTACACTAATGGTAGCCTATAACTCACAAAAGTTTTTTAATCAATCACTTCATCACAGGTGAAACATCTGCACTATGTTCATCCATTGTTGTTTGTTTACTATGACAAATTTAATGTGATCTGTGAAAGCCAAAGTTATTCTCTCTAATGACAACATTATCAACAACTTCCTCTGCCCAATTTAATTGACATTTCTTTATTTCTTTTTTTTTAATATATTGAAGCAAATTATTTAAATATTAAAATAAATTTTTTAAATCTCAGTTTAAGTATGGGTAAACTCATTACTCTTTCAATTTTATCTTTAGATCTGTATTATGTTAACAGCTCTTCTGTATGTATCATGTGTCATACATCCAGACCAGTCATATCATATGATATTAACATGAAAAAAATAGATTGGTCTTTTGCAATAATGTTTTTAATGGATTTAAATTGGAAAAAGATGATACATCTTTGAAACAAAATAAAGATTTCCGACTTCTAATAACAATTAAAATTAGATTTTATTTCTTGTTTTATATGACAATTTCTAAACATGTTAGAATTAAATAAAATAGTTGAACTTTTAGAAGTTCATTTACATTAAAAATTGTTACTGTTTTCCACATCATAGTGATTTTACATTTTTCATTTAATCATTTTTATTTGGCATGCAGAGAGAATTTTTGTTATGTACCACAACAAGCACCTGAAATTTAAAAGGTAAATGGAATTTCATTTTTCCTATTATATTCAACAAACAAGTCTATGAGGAAATTGTGAAGAAAGAATACAGGTTACTTTTAACTTCATTTATATACTGTTGTAAAAATTGTCTATTATAATCACTTGTAGACATTTCTCCATGAGGTGTTTCAAGATGACTTATTCTAAAGTTATTTGAATAAAATTAATTTGATAAAATGGTTTAATCCTGTTCATTGTTATTGCTTTGTGGAAATTACTTTGTGTGTCATCATATCGATACATATTGGTACAATACATATAACGGGATAATTGGGTTCAAATAAAATCGGATGGCTTAAATATGAGGATTTTAAAAATATTCCATGCAAATAGCATGGGGTCTTTTTAAAAGAAGAAATATTAGTCATTGTATTTTGAAAAAAATATTTAAAAATCGTTTGTGATTAGTGAGTTATGTGGTGTTGAAGGTTGAGTAGTGTTAGTGAATTAGTGATCGTGTTGAAAGAGAATATATATTTTTTTTACACAAATCGATTTGTTTTATTTTTGACAAAAAGTATAATAATATTATATATAATAGTGAGAACTTGACTTGCAAAATACTTGTCCCAAAATACATGAAAAATATTAGAAACAAATAAACAAAATTAGTAAATCCACATATATTCAACATTTTTAAAAGAAAATTGTACTGGTACTCAAATTTTATTTTGTTAAAAGTAATTTATATGCAAAATGTTATTGTCATGATGTGACAGCAAGAGGCAGCACAAAAAATTATATTAGGCAAGAGATCAACTTTAATAAAAGAAATGTTAGAAATGAAGATCAATAAAAATATTCTATAAGTTATTGAAAATCAACAGTACATGTGGTTTAACAGAAATCAGATTTTATTTAATTATTTACAATAAATTGAAATGCAAATAATTTCTTTAACAATTAAATGTCATACGTAATATTTGTTCCAATAATATGTGCTTATTTCTGGTTAAAGTATGGAAGGTCAGGTCAGCACCTCCAAGATTCAGTTTTTAATAATACCTGACAAGTTAAGGACTTTCAATAGATTACCCCAAATACAAATTAATTTACTCAATACTTTTAAGAAATTTTAAACTTACTTAAAACATTTATTATAACTAGCACAGTTATTCAGGTTTTTAATAAAGTTAAACAAGAACTATGTGTTTAACAAAGTTCTTGAAAGATTCACACAAACTCTTAATTATTCGAACGTGTTAGAAACATTCCCATAGTTCCATCAACTAAATAAATTCAATTCCATAACAGGAGATAAAATAACATTTACTAAAATATGCAGATTCTGATTAATCTTGCTGTCAGGAGGATCAGACATCAATTTTTCCCTTTGCCGAGTCATCTCTTATAGCTTTTAATAGTGGCATAAGATCTGATATAAAAATGGGAAAGTAAAGTGTTTATAATATGAAATAAATTATTAGCTAAACAATTGTAAAATTAAAGAACAAAGGAAAGTTTGTTCCTGTTTTTCCTTGTTCCTGTTAATTCAGTATTTCTAAACTGTAAATGGAATTGAAAAAATGTGTGGGAGAGGGCCACTAGAGGTTTTAAATGACACTAAAAACACTTTTGCAGGCAAATTATTTGAATATTGAAACTTAAATTTGCAGTTTTTAAATCGGTAACTCAGAGTAAATTACATAAAACTCTTTTTTTAACATGTTATAAAGCTTGGACATCTTTAAACAACTGTTTATAAACTCCGGTAAACTAACAACTAAGCTTTAACTCATAAAACAAGGGATTGATACAGCAATTAATTAAAATTTGTAACATTCCTTTTTAATAAAATGGTCCTATTAAAAAAATATATTTCGGCCAAAGAAAATTACAAGTGTTGATTTTATAACTTCATTTTTAAAAAAAACTATTTTTGCCCAGTCACAATTTATTTTGAATTCATCCGCAATTCTCTTACTTTAGGGTTACCCCTTACATGCAAAGTGATATGGTTCACACTTGGTACAGATTTTTATCCCACAGGTTGAAAAGTAGCCTATAGATAACCCTAAAATTAACAAATTACATGTGGCATTATGTAATACTTACTAACAAGTTGATCAGGTTCTTGTACGTTGAATTCATTTCTCAACCTTTTGTTTGGAATCACCATAAACCTTAAGAAGAATTATAAATATTATAAATTCTTAAAATTTTTAAATTTATGTACGCCCTGATCCTCAGAGTTGGAATATAATTTCAATTCTTAAGAGTCTGAGATTATAGTGCAGATGTCAGTGTAGACATCTTCACAGATTTTGAACACAAGCCATTTGGTACAATGGTATTGTTGTCAACTTTTTTTGTTGTTGTTTTTGGTTTCCCAATCAAGAGAGGGGATTTTCATCAAGGTTTTGTAACACAAAATTATTCTTAAAATATTTTAGAAGGCTTCAAAATAAACATAGGGCCTTTTTGAAGTTTAAATTTGTAAGTTTCATAATAGTTGACTTGTAGGCCTACATAATTCAAGGATTTACTATCATGAATGCATAGAATAAATTGTAAATACTTGCAATTGTAATTAATTATTTATTAATAAGACTTTGAACCAAAAAAATTAATTACATTTGTATTATCAAAGGGAAGTAACATCCACTTACTTTGTGACCAGTTGCACATGATATGTTCGGAATTCTTTGACGGCTTCAACTAATTCATTGTATGCCTGTGTCAGATCTTCATTAGAACCTTTTTCAGCTGAAATCATTGCAGAAAATATTTAATTAAATAATTATAAGAACATTTATGTGCAATATTTAATAATTAAATTGTTAAAATATCTATTACATAGTGGTTGATGGAGATGAAATGATAGTTGAACAAAATATTAAGTTAAACTGTCTCATTACATCCTAATAGAAATTTATATCTCTTCTATAGTTTCACTGTTTTATAAATAATAACTCAGCTGCACACTGTTTCAACCCAACAATGCACTGGATAGAAACTTACCCATCTCTCTCACATTCCCTGGCCATGTCTGGATTTGTTCCAAAAATGCACGATGTTTACTTGACCAGGTTGTGCGCAAAGTTTTGAAGAATTCCTCTTTATCTGAAATAGTGGAAAAATATTTTTTGTGTGGAATTATAACATGTTGCATTACTTTAAATTGAAGCTCAATCTAAATTCTAAATGAATAAGTAGTATAGATACTAACTTAATAATTTTTTAACATTCACTGTAATTGAAATAAAACACCTCTAAAACAAACTTTGTTGACAAAATAGGTCTTATAAATCAGTGCATCTAAATACAAATAGTAAACAGCATTAAGACTGAAAATAAAGGAGAGGATTCCACAAGGATTCTATTATATTTATATAAAAAGGTAATCTTAGTTTTTAAGAGTCTTAAAAAATAAAGAAATATTGTTTGCTACCTGCAATTTGTTTGCAAAGTCAATAATTGTTTAGGCCCATGTTTTTTTTAATAAGCTCATTAATTTTATTTTACTTCAAACAAACATTACCTGGTGGGTACTCGGTCCTAAGTAAGGTATCAATTATTTGAAAAACAGCTGCCTGTGAAGCTGCAGAATTGATCACCTGTTGTTCAAATGCTTCATGATTAATTTACCTAGAATATTGCTTGTAATTTTATTGTATTGATATTTGATGGCCCCGGGTGGGGGGCATTCCTATTCTGGGCTGCTTACAACAAAAATATTGATAATTTGTCTACAAGATTTAGTTAACTGCACCTACTTAATAACATCATCAACATCTTTAAGTTTGGAATTTTACATTTTTTTAAAAAGAATTTAATCATCATGTAAAAAATGAATTATTATAATATAATTCCTCTAACAACGCAAACCAATTAAAATATAATATTAACAAATATTGTTTAATAGGCATGTCAGCATCTTGATTCACAATAAGTTTCGCAAAACATTCTTTTCTAGATTCAAAACATTTTTGTAAACTGCTAACATACCAATCTCTTTGGTTGTTTTGTAACTCCTTCATACAGCATACCATCTGGTAATCCTGATGTCTCATTGAAGCTAAAGAAAAAGATTTGGAATCATGAATGTTGCAGAAGATTAAAAATCAATAAAACATAAATAGATATAACCAGTCAATTTGAAAGCATTGAAAAAATGGACATGAAAAAAATGAAAGCTTAATTTTAAACATCTAACTTTTAAAAATGTATCCCTTTCAAGTTTCATTGTATGTTTTTAAATAGTTTTTGTTTTTTTAAACTGATCAATTTTAAGTTCCCATACTTACCCTCGAAGATATGCAATTATCACCCTGAAAAACACATCTGGTTCCATGATCTCTGTTTCAAAGCAATAAGAATTAGCACTAATGTTAATTTTAATAGATAAATTTTACTGGTCTGTTTGATTTCATGTAATTTTCTTAAAGTGAAGTGGAAGGATATATAGTAATTTTATCCAAAGTTAACATTTTACTTAAATTTTCTCTAGCTAAAAATGGGTTCAGTGCTACAAATTTATATAAATAAGTTCTTGAGTTATTCTAAATTTGTTAATAAATGCACAATCATCAATGTAGTTCATAATAGTAGAACCTTAAGCATGTTTACTCACTATGAAAATCCTTGCTAATTTCCTTAAAACCTTTCAGCCATTGTGACAGGCTTCTTAGACCTTTAGCAAGTTCAATAGCATCCCCATCTTTTGAACTGTTTAAGATCACTTGTAATGTCTTATTTTACAATGGTAAAATAAAATAATAAAATAAGGCTTTTACATAGTTATTTTTATATTTTGACCTAATGAGTACAAATGGTAACGAAATTTCAGCAAAAATAAATTCAAACAATAGAATAGTAATAAGTTGTTAAGATGCATGCTATTAAATACTTGGCTAGCAAAAGACTTAAGGTCTGAAATTACCAGTTTATCATTGTATTATATAATGCATTCTTGTTAATGATATTATTAAACATGTTTTTAAATGAACCAATTGTGGAATGAAATTATAAATTAGGAAAGTAAAGCACTAAATGGGAAAATAAGCAAACGCAATTTTAACATAGAATCCACAAAGATGGTCTCTTGGCAAGTTGACTTGGCATTTCCAGAATTGGAAAATTAATTACATGTTTTAGATCCAAGAAATAATGTTTGATATTTAAAACAACACAAAAGTAAGCCTAGGATGGCACATACACTCAGGGCTGATGTGATTTCAAAGCTAAGGGAAATATGAACATTGTTGGGGAATGAATTTGAAATAAAGATAGATACAAGAATTAGTTAAAATAGATCATGTACACACACAAAAAACTTACAGGAAATGTTGTAGCAAAGTTTATTTCCATGGCAACAGCTAAAATCAAAAAGTCAACAAACTGTTGTCCTCCTGGCATGATGTATCGAACTTTAGTGTTTCTTAGAGGAAAAAAAAAGTCAAATTCCTACGAGACTATGCTTTCAAATTCATCTAAAAATTGATTGAAAAATTATGTTTCCAAAATGAAGGAAATTAAAAAAATGGTTAAAATTAAAATGCAAAGTAGGCCTAATTTTTTACTTAGAAATATATAGGGAAAATCAATTACAATTATTTAAGTATTATGAATGAGAAGCTATCTAACTAATCTAAGAATTAAAAAATTATAATTTAATAGATGTTTTTACATTTTCATCATTTGAATAACACTACAAGCTAAAAGCACAATAATAATTAAGAGTTAAGCAAAGTAAAACAGCACTGAACAATTACTGCCACATAGTCTAAAGCAGTGGTCCCCAGACTTTTTATCGCCGTGGACAGGTCAACGTTTGATAATTTTACCACGGCCCACTGAGGGGTTGGGGGTGTTGATTGTTTATATTTTGGATTGTTTTGATTTATAATTTGGTTCCCGCTGTGACTGCCCTCTTTGCCCCATTCTCATAGCTCTGCCTGAGGGCAACTTGGCACACAGAGCGACGCATAATATGGGGACCACTGGACTGGCCAAATTGTCGGCTGTATAAACACGCGATTCATTAAAAAAAAATATATATATATATATCCTGTGACGTCACAATTACCCATAAAATTGTTTGATGACCTTGGCTTTTTTATAGGGATGGGGGCTAAAAGCTCCTTGGACGTAGGGGTTTAGGGGGTGTGTCCCCCCCCAAAAAAAAAAAATCAAGCACAACAGCACCCCCCCCCCCCCGTATGGTTCCGGTTGCTGAGACCCTTTGTGTCCGTACGTCCGTAGTTATCATCCAGAAAATCTGGCAAGCTTATAAAATGGAAATAATTTAATGTTTCTTGGGCGGCCCGGTACCATTTGATTCGCGGACCGGTACCGGTCCGCGGCCCGGTGTTTGGTCACCACTGGTCTAAAGGACCTATCTAAATCCAATTTATGATTCAGGCAATGGCCTTTTACATATTGCATTATTTAAAACAGCCCTGTGTATGCTTAAATCTTTCCCCGTTCATGTAGGAGAATATTTTCTAGAACACAAGGTAAAATACAACAAAAAAAAAAAGGGATGATAATTCTCAAAACACATGCTAGCAATGCTTAGGCTTAGGGAAACTTATTTATCAAATATCATTCAAATTTATATGGGGGCTAGTCTGACACTTTAACTTTACAAACATACAATCAAAAATGATGTGCTTACTCTAGATTGCAGTGGAAAAGAAAATACTAAATGTTAGTTGAGTACTAGGGATTATTATTATTTTTTAAGCATCCTTATTTTCATTAACATTATTACTAATAACTAAATTCAATGTTGCCTTGTTATCAATATATAAAATATATTCATTAGACTATCAAAGGGGTCAACAAAAGTAAAGTTGAGAATCCTTGATTTTTAGTTTAAATACTTACTCTCTTGAGTAGGGTCTGAAAAGAAGAGATGGAATATGTTAAATTAAATAGTTTATAGTTGGTGTGAATAGCACATCCATTCTTACTTATATTCATTATTCATACTCATACTGTTAAGCACATCCATTCTTATATTTATTTATATCCATATTGTTTAGCACATCCATTGTTATTAAATTATATACATACTGTTTCTCAACAGTAGTATCAAGTTTAAAATAAGAAAAAAAAACATTAAAAAATTCTGCATATTATGAACTGTAAATATATATGAGTACTTTCCTATTATCACTATTCACACATTGCAGTTTATAACTTAAGCTTACTTATTTTTATCCACTCTTTGCCAGTTACCCAACAAAGCAAAATATGACATGCCAGGCTGTACACCAAGTCGGTCAGAGACATCACACAGTGGTATGGCCACAGAAGCTGGAATTGACTGGCAAATAAAGAGGCTAAATTGACATTTTTCTGAAATAAAATTTTTGTATGGCCATTGGTCAGTGTCATTTGCCGCCGTCGGTGAATTGTCATTTTATAGTCCACTTTCATGATGGGGCTTCAGATTCTGATTTTAAAACCTTTTCAAAAACTATTGAAAATTAATTACTGAGACAGTCGATCTTAATATTTCTCTAAGAAGAAACAGTCGAAATATGTGTTTCTTATTTCAAAACAGTCATTCATATTATTCTAAGACCAACATTAAACATACAAAAATAATAAAGGGCCAAAAATATCTGTAATAATACACTTAACAAGTTACTGCTTGCTTCATTCTGAAAATAATATGTCACTTGTTGAATTTTAACAAATTAAGTTTGAATTTCCCAAAGTAGATCACTATAGCTTGACCGGTTTCAAAATTATTTCCCAAATTTGACTAATAGTGACTGCATTTTATAAAATATATTTGATATATAGCCTAAAACCTACTTTAACTTTCAAAGTGACCAGGTCAATTTTATTTAAAAAGTCTCATGGCGACGCACTCCCATCTACCCTTTCAATTCCATATTTTTAAATGTCATTTTGAACATTTCCCATCACGATGGTCCTGATTCCTGATGGTAAATTAAATTTAATTAATATTTACCAGATCTAAATATCAAACGGGTGAAAGTTGTTTAAAATTTTCTGGAATTTCAAACATAAAATAAGGTCAAAGAATCGTGCTAAAACTTAATTAGATCTATCAACGTTTTGTGTCGGGTTTATTTAAGTGTTATATAATTTATATAGCAGTAGGCCTGTATAATATAATAGGCAGTCCTATAGATATTATTTTGTTTAAGGTAAAGGTTATTTTTTCTAACATCTCTCATATTATATTATTGACATTTTCGTCATCATAGCATTAGCTTATCTTGGCGAACCCCGGAATATAAACATGATAAAACAAAGTGGCAGTAATAAGCAGGTTAGTGAAAATAAATATTTAAAAGAATTTACCCCCCACACCTTTTGTTCTCAAAATATGCCAATAGTCAATATGTTGATCTAACTCCTGCAAGTTTAAGCGCGCATTTGGTTATCCAGCGCTTTGGGGGGGGGGGGGCACGACGACGTACATAGGCCTACACTTTTTTTATGGATTTTGCGTTACGTCATTATGGACCCTTAATACAAAATGTGAACACCGCCACTTTTTTTTTTTTTTTCTTTCTTTTTTTAGTGAAAATAAATATTTAAAAGAACTTACCCCCCCCACCTTTTTTTCTCAAAATATGCCAATAGTCAATATGTTGATCTAACTCCTTCAAGTTTAAGCGCGCATTTGGTTATCCAGCGCTTTGGGGGGGGGGGGGCACGACGACGTACATAGGCCTACACCTTTTTTATGGATTATGCGTTACGTCATTATGGACCCTTAATACAAAATGTGAACACCGGCACTTTCTTTCTTTTTTTCTTTCTTTCTTTCTTCTTTCTTTCTTTCTTTCTTTCTTTCTTCTTTCTTTCTTTCTTTCTTTCTTTCTTCTTTCTTTCTTCTTTCTTTCTTTATTTCTTCTTTCTTTCTTTCTTTTTTTCTTTCTTCTTTCTTTCTTCTTTCTTTCTTACTTTCTTTCTTCTTTCTTTCTTTCTTTCTTTCTTTCTTTCTTTCTTTCTTTCTTCTTTCTTTCTTTCTTTCTTTCTTCTTTCTTTCTTTCTTCTTTCTTTCTTTCTTTCTTCTTTCTTTCTTTCTTTCTTTCTTTCTTCTTTCTTTCTTTCTTTCTTTCTTTCTTTTTTTCTTTCTTCTTTCTTTCTTCTTTCTTTCTTACTTTCTTTCTTCTTTTTTTCTTTCTTTCTTTCTTTCTTCTTTCTTTCTTTCTTTCTTTCTTCTTTCTTTCTTCTTTCTTTCTTTCTTTCTTTCTTCTTTCTTTCTTTCTTTCTTTCTTTCTTTCTTTCTTCTTTCTTTCTTCTTTCTTTCTTACTTTCTTTCTTTCTTCTTTCTTTCTTCTTTCTTTCTTTCTTTCTTTCTTTCTTTCTTTCTTTCTTTCTTTCTTCTTTCTTTCATCTTTCTTTCTTCTTTCTTTCTTTCTTCTTTCTTTCTTCTTTCTTTCTTTCTTTCTTTCTTTCTTTCTTCTTTCTTTCTTTCTTTCTTTCTTCTTTCTTTCTTCTTTCTTCTTTCTTTCTTCTTTCTTTCTTTCTTTCTTTCTTCTTTCTTTCTTTCTTTCTTTCTTTCTTTCTTCTTTCTTTCTTTCTTTCTTTCTTTCTTTCTTTTAAACATGAAAAGGCTTGGTTTGATCAGTGTTTTCTCTGAAGAACTTGCAGCTAGGTTCATTAGATGGCACGGGTTAAATTATATCAGTTGCTTTGTAACTACTTAATCATATGCTCGCTGTCATTGGAAACGTTTGTCAGGATACAGAGTCTACACATCATTAGTAGCAGCAAAAATGTGTTAGTGCTACATGTAGGCTATGCGTGGAGTTATTCAGTGGATGTCGTAAAATTAGACGTAAACCTGTTTCAGCTCACTTGGGCATATCCAAAATACGTGGGTAAGGGGAGCCACTAACTGCAACCTGTCATCAATGTAGCTTAGTTTGTAAAACTTGGGCAGCAAGAGGGAATTTATCGTAACTTCAAGGGGCCTCGGATATTTTAGGGGCACAAAGTTGTGATGTGGCAAAAAATTAACTATCACTTTTAAATGCAGTGTTTTGGGGGGGGGGGCGGCAACGAAAGTGGTAGGCGAAAGGATGGTCGGAAGCCTAATGGATGATACTTTTAGGATAATTATTATTATTTTTTTTTAAATTTCACCCCAACATCTTCAACACACAAAACTTGATGTATCATAGTTTTGAGATGAATCCTGACATAAAAGAAATCTGGCAAGTATGAGTTACCATAGTAAACACAGTAACTTTACCTGCACAACGTTATGTGGTCCACTCTCCCAAGCGTAGCCTGACGTTATGATACAGAGCTGTAGGTGAGCCAGTCGAAGGTCTTTGAAGTCTTGCAGCTTGCTGCTATCTAACAGAGGAAGCTGGGAAGTGAAGACATTCAAAACATATGTCGCATTATTGGCTTTGTCGATATCTTGCCTAGAAATATAGGGACTCCATCTTCACGCTTTCCATCAGAACACAATGTGAGAAGAAGAATACACACATCTACATATTTTGTCAAGTCAACAATAATAACTTCGTTTAAATAGAAAAGAGATCTATTTAGGCAACTAGACCGTCCATACTTTAAAAAAAAAAAAAACACGTCCAGTGACCGAAACAAATACTATGAATTACTCGTGGGTCGAAGCATATGTAGTGAAATATTTGATGGATGGCGGTTACAACTTCTGTGTGCAGGTGGCCACTGATTGTAAGACAAATTAAGGGAAATGTCCATCGTGATACTGACCTTCTCTGTCTCAGTCTTCACCGTCTGTGAAGCAATAAGATTTGCAGTTTTGTTGGCCAACTCGTGCCATGGTCTGTAATACTCAGGCAGTGAATCCTGTTGAAATAAGATATAAATGTATTTTAATGGAATATAGATCCATAGCATGTATGTTGTGGACGACATTCCTGACATGAAAGACTGCTCACTCTTGAAAGCTTTAGAATTTAACGGGACATTTTAACTGCAGCAAAATATAGGATGGAAATAAATTGTTTGGATCGAAATAATATGATTTCCAACCTTTGTCAAATATGCAAATTACATGCCGACTATAAGATTTGATATGGAGCTGACACTTTAGATGATCCTAACACACCCTAGATCAGCAGTTCTCAACCTGTGGGTCGCGACCCCTTTGGGGGTCGAACGACCCTTTCACAGGGGTAGTCTAAGACCATAGGAAAACACATATTTATGAAGTAGCAACGAACATAATTGTATGTATGGGGGTCACCACAACTTTAAAAACTATTTTAAAGGGTTGTGACATTAGGAAGGTTGAGAGCCACTGATCTAGATGACCCTGACTTAATATAGGGCTAAAGCCGAACTATGTCACGTGCTTTTGAAATAATGAAGGCCATCGAATATAACCGACATCATCGGGGGCTAGGAACAAATATACATTAATACACAAATATTTAACCAAGTGCCCTGCCCTCAAATGAAAACCGGTAGATTTAAAAAAGTCGGATAATGGGGTTAAGCCCTCATCAATGATTATGAACAGCTCGGTACCATATAACTGATGACTTGAGTTGACGCGTAAGTTATGGATGTCTTGTACAGTACACATAAAGCACCCAAATGAAGAGTTTTCTGTGGGGTCCCGGCCAAATTTGTTTCTAGGGTGTTTGGGGCCCGAGAACAAGATACATTTTTACGCCCCCACCCCTTGTCAATGCTGAAACACATTATTTTCATCAATAAAAGACCAGCTAAGCCCATTATGGTACCCCAACTAGTCTGGCGCCCGGGTACATAAGCCCCCCCCCCCTTTCCATTCGTCCCGCCACTAATCCCGGCTGTAAAGTGAATGATAAGATTATTTTTTTTAAAATCTGTAATATAATATCTTATTCCTAAATTTTGCTTCTACGTGTAACATGAGTAACATATTATCTCATTGAGAGAAGATTATCTACATTTTGCTTCTACATGTAACATGTCTCAATGACAGACGATTATCAAGGATTTTTTAAAAAATTATTTGAAAACAAAAACAATAGCATTATATCAATTGTTGAGAGTGACACAAGGTTGACCCTAATGAAAACTCAACGTCGAAGTTTGAATGCTATTTTTTTCAACATCAACAAGTTTAACTTATTTTACTTCATCGCATTAAATATTTCGTAGTTTGTTTTTTAAAAAGTATATGGAATTTAAGTGTTTGGAAAATTCGTGAAAAAATCTGTTTCCGGTTGTTGTTGTTTTTTAAAATTCTATTTCTATTAAAAAGCAATGCACTGAAATAGTTTGGGGAATGAGCATAGAACTAAATCCGAGGCCTACATTTGCGATCGTTATCATTCTGTTCGTTGTGTTGGACTGAACAGGGGGGGGGGGGGGGGAGAATACTAATTTATTGGGCCTATATTTTATTTTTAGAAAAGATATAGAGAAAACGAAAAACGTGATGTCGAGAGAAATTATAGTCAAGGTGCATTTTATAATTTGCCGTGGTACACGCGAAATTTGTACGGAAAAGTTCATTTTTTATAATTGATTTTAAAAAAAAATAAATGTTGAAGAATGCTTGATGAACATTAAATTATTTTTATTACGGAAAATAAAAAGGGAAAGAACGTAAAGAATAAAACTTGTTTTAAAACATGAATTATTTGTCTATTAATATAGGCCTATATAATATTGATTTAGACGTAATCATAAATCTCAAATACGTAGGGGTCGTAAGGCGGCATGAGAATTCACTCTTGCTTAGATTAATTTAGTCATTAGTTATCTTTAATTACAAACGAGTTTAGTATTTAATGGTATTTTACATTAAAAATGAAAAGGGGTGGGGGACTATTTTTCTGATAAAGTAAAAAATATTAAACTAATTTTTTTTTTTTAGATAAAATGCGATAAAACTATAGTATATAGCTATGAAAAAAAGTAAGTTATTGAGCTACTTACTGGAAGCTCCTGAGCATATCCAGAGAATTCTGAAATTTCGTAGTCAGGAAAGTGTATGGCTTCAGACATATTGCTGCGAATAAGTTGAAACCACGATGAACGGCACTTTATGAACAGAACTTTATCGATTATTAACTGACTGCCTAATATAGTTTGAAATGAACCGAAACACCATCAACATACTTCTGCAATTCGAAATCTGTTAGCTGCCTCTCCCGGTACCGCCTTTACCTTCTGCCAAGCCTCTAAAAATAATAGCAGTCAAAGCAATGTAGTCAAGGTCCTGCGTCAGCCACCAGCGGTTATCTTAGTTCAACAACTGAATACAGATCTCTTCAATTCAGACGAACTCACATGCAACCCTTAAAAGCAGTTGCGTGAGATACGACCAACGCGTCGGGGTCGTTCTATGTCTATGTTGACTTTGTCTTCCCGGGACGCGGAATAAATGGGCTAAGTTTCTCCTTGAATGATAGAATAAACAGTTTTGGGTTCATTCACTTTTATTTCAAATTACCAACCACCAACTCAGAGCAATCCTGACGCAGCAGATAATTGGGTCACACGGCAACTGGTTGCCACCTGAGGGGGGGGGGGGGGGGGGGGGGGTTGTTGAACCCTTGCTACCTATGGAAAAAATAAAAGCTTAGTAAAAATAAATCCTCACTCAAGGCTATATCCAATGAAGGGGTGGTAGCAAGGTAACCTATGTATTTAATGTATGTCTCCATTGGCATGGGCGCTGACATGATGACAGGCATGGGAGCTCACCAAGAAGAGAATGCACTGGATACATAGTTTGGGTGGCTACTTATCAATAATCATTTGTTGTTGATTTACTAAACGGATTCAATTATTTTAAAGTTTCAATTCAGCCCTTTGTTTATTGTAATGTGATTACTCTTGTTACCAAGTGATAATGTCCTGATAATAGCAAATATGATGTAGACCTGATAATAGCAAACATTATGTAATATGGACATATTAATAGCAAACATGGTGCAGGGCCGGCCCGACGGTTGCTGGCGCCCTGTGCAAGCTTAACTTTGGCGCCTCTTATAAGTATAATTCATTGTTTGTTTTAAAAAAAAAAAACAACAACATAGGTAATAAACTTATTACCGAATAACTCGTTTTTTATTTCCTTTAATGATTATACTTATAAGGGGCGCCAAAGTTAAGCCTTAAGTAAAGTTTCGCCCTGTGCGAAGCACCCGTTCGGCGCCCCATTCCCTGTATGACTCCGCTCTTTTTCCGGTTACGACTTACTTTTTCTGCTTTGCGCTTGCGATTTTGCGCCCCAGAAAGCATTTTGTTCCCCATATTCTTTCTGCTGGAATAATTGTAAGAGGGACAAGGAAATACGGTATTAATAAATTAATTTCAACGCACTTTGAATTAACCCTAATTAAGAACGCAACTTTCATTTTCATTGTATGAAAACTCCTTAGATGAAAAGCGATTGTACGAACAGTTAGAACACCGTTTCTCGACCCGGACCCGAGGTTCACACTTCACTATGATAAACTAAGAGAGTTAAATATTTAATGGGAACCCCAGGTGCCCCATGGCCACGGCGCACTGTGCGAGGTCACAGGTCCCACACCCCAAAGGCCGGCTCTGCATGATGTAATGTTGACCGCGCATTCAGTAATCGATACAAATATAGTACCTACATATTTAAGCCTACATTACAGGCTTGTCAAGTCTGACAATATGGGGCACTTGTCCCTTTTCCCGGCGCCCATTTATGCCAGCACACCAAGTATTGTACTAACTCAAATCTGACATCTCCGTGAGCCGTACATTTCAAATCCTCTGATTTAACATTGCTGACATTGCACACAGGGGCGTCATTTCAGGTTTTTCGGGGGGGGGGGGGCAAAACCAATAGTTGTTCGGCTTGTTAAGTTGTTTATTACTGGAGGCAACTTAAAATTTAAATAAAACCTGCAAATTCAAGGGGGTGGGGGTAAAAGGCCCAACCGCGCCCTACCCATCTGGAGGCAACTTAAAATTTAAATAAACCCTGCACAGTCAGGGGGGGGGGGTAAAATGCCCCACCGTGCCCTACCCAAATGACGTCTCTGATTGCACAAGTACTCTCTAACTATTTTGCATAAAGTAACGGACATTTACGTGTCACCCGTCCCCACACTTGACAATTTTTGTTTGGAGATGTCAATTCCCTGCCCCATCCCTCATCTGATAATGACAAGAGATTGCAGACCTTGGCCTTCCTGGCGCTCAGCGAACACACTAGTAGCCGGGGGGTGGGGGGTAGTATGTCGGCTGGGTTAGATTAGTAGGTGAATGGCTTCATACAGCCACGGGGTGTGGGGGGGGGTGGAGAGTGGAGAGTGTGGGTTACTGGGACTAGCGTTTATACGCACCTGGGAACACATAACAAATGGCCAACCACAGTCTTTGAACCCGTGTGTTCCTTTCTGGGGTCTATGTCTACAACCAGGGCACTGCATGCTAGTCAAGCCGGTTACAAATATAGATCTACCCGAATTCGTTGACATGTTATCCATTATAAAATTGGTCTTTGTTTTCTCGTCTGCTAGTTAGGGACGCCATTTGGGTAGGACAGGGTGGGGCATTTGCACTCCCCCCCCCCCAACTGAATTTGCAGATTTTATTTAAATTGCTGCGCACTCTGGCGCTCCTGCAAAAAAAAAAAAAAAAAAAAATTAACAAGCTGAAGAAGTTTTTGTGTTGCCCCTCCCCCCTGAAAAAAACCTGAAATGACGCCCCTGCTGCTAGTGACACTTGACACGAACTATTTGTGTAAGTACAAATTGAGGATACTATTGGAGCTTGGAAGATTGGCTGAAACTCAGTTGTCTTATTGGTATCGGTCTGTTCTGTGGTCTTATTGCCATCGGTCTGTTCTGTGGTCTTATTGGTATTGGTATCGGTCTGTTCGCAGTAGGTGACCACATCTACTGGAGAGATTCTTTAAAGAAATACTTGTTGTATACAATACATACACGAAAGTACCAATATATGCGATTAATGGGAAGTAGTGGTGCGGCTCATCACTGAAAGCGGCCTATTTAAAAAAAAAAATACGGTATTAGAATCAAATGCTGTAAATATTTGGATCATCAAAATATAGAGTGGATCGATACTTCATTAATTACTCTATTTCCACAATTTTATTAAATGACTTGTAAAATTGAAATAATTTAATAATTTATTGTTGTACACATTTTTCCAAGGGGTGGGGAAAGAGATGTCTGAAAGAAACTCTGCTTCTTATATCATTAAAAACAAGGCTAAGAAATCAAATGTTTGAGTTATGATAACTTATAATTATACACTCTGCCAAACATTGAAAAGGAATTGTTAGATGAATTAAATGTAGAATCTATTATGACAGGTTTTCCACAAGCAAATGGTCACAGTATTTAATGAATACACAAATTTTCAATTAATATATTGTACTGCACGGAATATGCTTTTAAACTAGCTGTTAAATTTGCGTACACATATTATGTATTTGTTGGTGTGTGCCGTTCTGATTCTGATAGACTACGTTGCTGCAACCAAGTACTGGCATATGTGCAACGGTTTGGGAAACTATGCGGCTATCATAACGGCTCCTAGCGGGTGCCAGGGCAGCCTTGAAACTCTCGATTGATGTTGAGTCCACGGCGGCACTGTCCAGTTGGTTACAAGCAATTATTGTTCGTGGGAAGAATGATTGTTTATATTGGACTGTGTTACACCGAGGCACAGTAAAGCATTTATCATTGTTCCGGATGTAACTGCTCATGGAGTTGTCAGAGGTGAAGTCAGTGTTTATTGAGCGTCTGGCTCTAATTAAGTGACCTGGCTTCTAACCTGGGGTTAAATACGTGTTAGCTGGAATGGCCGGCACTGGCCCCGTGACCACTTTATAGAGAAATGATAGACGGAGCTTTTCTCGTCTGTCTTTGAGGGAGGGGATGTCAAATCTTTTTAAGAGTTCAGTGACGAAGCCAGGAGTGGTGGATTTGTACTCACTTGCGATGAAGCGCACTGCGTTGCGTTGTATTCGCTCCATCTTGGAAAATGCAGATTAAGGTTGAGACAATGTTGTCAGCCAGGGTCTTCAGCACAATGTTCGGGATACAGTCAGGTCCGTGGGCTTTATTGGGCTTCAGGTTTTCGAGAAGTTTGGCTACTCCTGGTTCAGTTATGTTGAGGGGGCCTATGGTACCAGGTGATGGTTTTACGGATGATGGTATGACTGTGGTGGAAATTTTGGTGAAGACAGATTGGAACTGCCTTAGGAGAATGTCTGCTTTGCATTGGCTATCGCTTATAACCTGTCCGTTTTCTTGTGCGAAGCTATGTATTTGTGGACCTTTCTGTGCGCGTTTATCGTGCGCTCGTTTGCCTTGTGAGCACATGCCTGGTCACCGATCTCAGCTTCGTTTAACAAATCACATTAACGTTTTATCTGCAAGCCTGACTCCTACAGTCACTTTTCTAAACCTGAGCGTCAAATTAAATACAGTCTGGAGCATCTAGACATCAACATGATAATACGTTTAGAAATTGTTCTGCATCACTTCTCTGCAACATTAGTAAGAAGTTGATGTCCATTAGTTTTACATTTTAATTTACAAAACATTCTCTGTGCTGAAGATGATTAAATCACTATTCTTCCTCGCAAACCGAAACTGCGTATTAGATAGTGTTGTTCAGTTTAAGCCATGACAACGAGCTGTGGATTGCCGGGACAGTAAACGGTTGGGTGTGAAAGGCGCCCATGACTAATGCCCCTTGAAAACTAGTTAAATTTGACAGAATTGTTTCCCTTTTCAGGCCTACATTGTCTGCGAGCCTTTCTAAAGTCTAAAGCTGCCTGAAGAACAAATATTGTGTCAGTTTAATAATGCAATTATAATTATAGTCCTTTGAGAACGGCTCTGCATAAGTCATAATGACAATAAATTAATGAGGCTGCAGTGGTGCAGTGTAGGCTACCGAATATGGTTACAGAAAATTTGTTCGAATGAAAATTGTTCGTCGGAAGTTTGTTCGATAGTGGGTAGGGAATTAATATAGGGAAAGGGACAAAAGAAAGGAAAGTGAGTTCACGGTGATTGGTTTTAAAAAATGAAGGGGGCAACAAAGAGCGAGCAAGTGTCAGGGTCCATAGGTGTGTATCTGTTCGTTCTCCAAGTTCACCGTGACGGGCGTGTTGGTAGAGGAACATATCCTTATCGGACACATCCACAGTAACAAAGAGCAACAAATAATTCCTCCCCGGGGTGGGGGGGGGCGCTTAAGCAATGTGACGTCACATAAAAAGTGGAATATTATAGTAAATAATTGCACTTAATAACCCTAAATTACAGACATTTTAACATTATTCTTTTGTCCCACAATTAAAATTATTTACTTTTAAAACTACTATCACTGAGAGAATCAGTACAGGTATGCGAGGTGCGAAAAATGGCCTCTGATCAAGTTACAGGACGCCAAGGAGGAGGAGAATGGGATTGTTGTTACAATGAAAGTTGTGGGAATTTATGACTAAATCTGGACACGGGAATCATAGAATTAGAGCTACCGCGTTAAATTCAGATGGGACGGGGAAAAAATTGTGCAGGGAGTATCTTAGTAAAAACTCTAGGACAGGGATTCTTAACCTTTTTTGCAGCGTTACAGGTCCACTCCGTTTTAAACACCCCCCCCCAACCAACCGTATAAATTATATTGTAATAAAATTAAAAATGATTAAATAATTTAGTTACCGTAGTTTTATTTCTTTAATTAAATTTTCATAAACAAGGGAAAAAAATTACCAATACAAGCAATGTGTCAATAAAATTCACCAGAAAAATATTTACTGCTGCTAAGCAAAATGCAAAAAAAACTTTTTTTGTTTGTTAAAGTTAAAGCAGCAGCAACTAGCAATGGTATCAAAAAATACAATCAGTGGCGTAGCTAAGGTTGGTGTCACCCGGTCTGGTAAGGTGCCCCCTCTTGACTTCCACGATGCTATCTTATTCAAACTTCTTGTTAAACCAACTCCACAGTATAACAAATACAAGAACAACAACAAATTAATTGAAGGTCATGAAGTAAATGTATTTAAGAAATTGAAATGCACTTAGATTTGCCTTTTGTTATCAAAAGATAGCTTAATTTCTCAGAATTTAAATAAATCTAGCTTCCTGTCACTTACAAAAGTTACCGAACACTTCATTCGGCGTTGAAATATGGTCAGAACGTTGTGTTTCTGACCTAATAATAAGGTAACCTAATTGCTGACGCATCAGCCTTGAACTTTTTAATAAAACACCCATTTTGATTGGTTACATGGGTGGAAAATGTACGCTTCATATGCACTTTTTCAATTTGGTGTCATCCCCTGAGATGATGTCACCCGGTGCGGTCCGCACCACCCTAGCTACGCCATTGAATACAATTTTCTGGTCTTCCACACGTCAGGGATGGGGAGGTGTTTTTACCCCTTGTTAAGAACCACTGTTCCAGTGAAATGTTTCTCACATAGGTGCTGTAATTTGGTATCCACGGGAGGGAGGTGAATTTCTTAAAGGACAATAGTGGACACAGGGACCTTATATTTGAGGGGTGGGGGGAGTGTAGCTTTTTGTGACGATGGGGGGAGGAGGGGGGGGGGTAAAAAAATCGGCAAAATTTGCTGACAACATTTATGGATGGCCCCTTAAAAAGCTATTGGCCGCAATATATATATATATATATATATATATATATATATATTACACACTTGTAAGCTTTATTTGATTAATAGGCCCTATTTTAATTCATATTTGTTAAAATTTGAATCAATTTGAAATAATATGATTTATAAAATAAGACAAATTGCTTTAACAATCTAATTAATTGAAACTACAAAGAGAAAATAGTTAATGGGATGGGGAGGATTGGAGAGATTACAGCATGGGAAACGATCATACATTCAAGCCTATCCTGGATGTGAATTGTCTACCTTACAAAAATTATTCCGCATATTATTGAAAATACAAATTTCAATATACTTTCATAATTCACCGTGAATAAAATCCAGTCATAAAAAAGACAGGTCAAATTTTAGAGATATTTTTAAAACTAAATATTATACTTAAATTGCACAAAATTTTAAATTATAATTAAGGAATTAGATTAAAATGCGTAGCCATATCCTTACTGCATTGTGATAAGGTTCTCCCGTTTGATTATGAAGAGATGTTTGAAAACAAATGGCTTTCGAAGATAGTCTAAAATGAACGAATATTGCTTTTCTTTGTTCGACCAAAGGTGTGATCTTCGTTTGTGTTAAATGTTTTTTTGTAATTCTTAAGTTGGCCGTAGTTTATAATATTGTTTGTCCCTGATTTATGGGAAATCGTATTATTTCCTATCGTACCCATGTGAGATTTTATGCTGAAACTGGTGAAATATTAATTATAATTGATGATATTGGACCAATGATAGACCCAAAGTGACTCTAAACCAACATTTTTGCCTAATAATATGAAGTTTAGAGGACCGTTTAGAGCTGTAATAGAGTAGAAACTCCCTAATTTTAGTGCAATGAATTAAAAACTTCCTACTAAGCTACTATTTAACCACTACTATTTATTTAGCCTACCAGATGCTGATGGAACTACATTAATCATTAAATTACTCAATTTAAAACACTTCATTCTTCAAATTCTATGTAGGTAAAGCAAGGGAGACTACTAAAATTTTGTATGGGAAATGTGCGTTGACGTGCGAAAATCCAAGTTTTTAATTTTTTTGATGTTGGTGCTATTTCATTCATAAAATAATTAACTATATTATATCAAGTATATCCCACAATTGGGTAATCCCAAAGAGAATGCGCCATGACGTATCACACGGCCGCCGTCTTGGTTGACCCAACCCGTGAATTTTCACGGGTCATGGCAACCAAGATGGCGGCCGTGTAAAATTAATTTACATTTGCTAAAATGAGGAGTAATAAAATATTAAACATTAATGATGAAAAAATGTATCCCTAAACCTAACCTGAACCCTAAATCTTTCCCTAAACCTAAGCTAAAGCCGCAATTAAAAAACATGTGGCATCACTACACATTGTGGCAAGAAAACTGTGAAAATGAACAAAAACAATAAAAATGGCCAAAAATAATTATAAAATAAAGAAATAATGAAAAACCCAACTTATAGTTTCGTAGAATACACTTTTACATACTTTATGTCAGATTCCACGGAAAAGAATATCCAGAAAATGAATAAAACACAGTCAATTCGTTTCAAAGAGGGCGGAACAAATAAAATATTAGAAATAGCCCACCAATGGAATTTTAAAATTATGATAAATTAACCACTAAAAAATTTAAACATGCCATCGTCATATTAAGGAACATGTAACTCTATTAACAAAAAAATAAGGGGAATGAATCCAAAACAGAAACTTTACAAAAAAGCGTAAATGACGTCATGGCTTTCTCTGTGCTTTTACTAAATAACAATTGTTTTCCTTTTCCGGCCTTTCGACTTTAGAGGACATCTTGGCATACAGTTTAATCGATTTCTTGTTCATTTACGATCAGTCAACTTTGAGAAAATCCTGGGTGAATATAAGGCAACTTTCATCATTAAGATTAAGTCGCAGTAAAAGATATGGCATTGCCATATGCCATATGTTTTATGCATATTGGGCATGTATTAATCTACATTTTATGCCAAATTTCACAGCGCTATGTGTTTAACCAGAGACGCCATGTTTCCACGCATTCGCAGCATGTTATGCTGTTAGCTTATCCCAATTTCGATGGATGTGACCACACACCCTTTTTAATAGCAGAAGATGCAGATAAATTGAGAAATATTCTATTATTATAACTATTTATATCAAAATATTTGGATAACTTATGTTTTAGAGTGAACTTGGAAGGCATTTAAAAGCCAAAATATCCTAATTTAAGGTTTAAAAACCTGGTAGAGTCCATATTATAAATGATCATAATTGGCAGTGTGAAAAACGTTGCATTGGTCAACCATTCACAGCCACTTGCATAATAGCTATACCGTAGTACTTTCTCTGAGTTTCATTCATAAGAGTTTGCCGTGAAAAAACTATTAAATCATTAGTCAGGGAAAGCTTTAATTAATTTTTCATGTGCCAAAGTAATAAGGGGATGCGTTGCCTTATATTAACTATATAGTCATTGCGCATGACGCAATGAGCGGCATGACGCAATGAGCGGAATGAGGTCACAAGATGTGGAGGTTTCGTCCATAGTAAAAAAAATAACAAACGAACTCACACTTTAAAAATTCTTAGCTCAAAAAGTACTAAAGCTAAAAAGTTTATTCTGGTTTCATTTTTTAGATTTAAAATTGGCTCTAAATAACTGTAATGTCAGAAAAAAAATTTTTGAATTTTTTTTTATTGACTGAAATACCTATCTTGACTTCAATGGTTTTTTTGTTAATAGAATGAAAAAAATAATTTCTTACTCGTTTAATGTTCGCTTTAAAGGGATTTTTATAGTGGTCTATAAAATTATTAAAAAAATCAGTAATCTGGCAGTTTAGCAAATGTGTGGCAAGATTTAGTCACTTTTCCCAGTCTCAGGCCAAAAGTAGGGACTTTGGTATTGCCCAGAAACACCTGTAAAAAGGGTATCATAATTTCTTTGTCACAATGGCAACCTCGAACTTTTAATTTAGAGAGGGTAGCATTGTTTCAGATATTGTTTGCAGATTTTAGTTTTGACAGTTTTGTTATTAAATTCTACTTCTACCTTCAACTAAAACTAAAAGCAGACTCATTTGTTGTTCATTTCAATTTTTTCTTTATAAAATTGAAAATTGAAGGTAAATAATATCTAACTTTACTCATTCATAATTTTCCTGTAAGTATTATACTTTTGTCTTTTTTTATAATAAAGTTATAGGTGTATAAACAAAGGCAAAACAAGGTCACGAAATGTGGAGGAAAACCCCATATGGAAAAAGTGGTTTTGAGGTCCTTACTAAAAGATTGAGCCAGAAAGTTGATCTTTGTGTTTTTGTATATCAATCTCTAGGCTCTATACAGCTGTAGTATTTTTATATTTTTAAAAATGTTTTGAAATTTTCATTTAAGTGCCCACCAAAAGCAATATTCGTATGGTAAAAGATGTTAGAACCTCCAGTGTTGCTTCTCTTTTCTAATGGATTTCCATCTTTGTCTATTTAAAGACAATCTTTGGCTGATGCTTGGTTCCTCCCCCTCAATCCATTCAGAATATACGAATGATCCCTTCCGGATGAATATATGGGGGGAGGTGTCTAGATATTTAAGCCTATAAAATTAACGCAGCTACATTTTTGCCACAGTTTCGTAATGATAGTGGTGACGGTCATATTGTTGCTTTGTGTTTTCATAATGAACTCGTTAGACACAGCAGCAGTAATATTAGCGTTGTCACCGTGACATTTTTAGTCCATCCTGGGCCATCCTCATAGTATGTACGCACTGAGGGGGGATTTGAGTGGCTTGTTGAATTTTAAAATTTTGCGGGGGGGGGGGGGGAGGTGGGGGGTCCTTGGCAGAAAGTACATACGTTATTCAAAAATTCTACAGCATTCATCCTGAAAGTCCAAATATAGCATATTTATGTTGCAAATGCTGTAAATTTAACATGCATTTTTTTGTATCAATTATCTATCATAATTTTTTTAATGAACTCAATACATATACTCAGTTAGTACTAAGTAGTAGCGGTATTACAATATTATTTAGTCCAATGTGCTTGTGAGTTTTGACTTACATTATGCTGGGGACACCATTGACTCTAAAATTTTCGTTTCCCGGCACCTATGTCAAATTCAGGTTTTCAGCAGGCTCCCTGTGTTAACATTCTTACAAGTACACCCGAAATAGCAATTACATTGAGAAAAAAATAAAAGGTTTGGTGAAAATTAATATAACATGCATGTAGGTCACAATGCATCATCTAGTAGCTGCAAACAGTAGTTACTCAAGTGAGTTACTTTTTTATCCACCACCACTAGATGTCATATTGGATTAAAAGTTTAAATAAAATTCTGAACATTTTATAATATTTCGTAATGCCACTGAGCAAGCCACAGCAACCCATATAGAAAAAGTGGTGTGGGGCCGGTCGTAAAAAATGTGTGCATGAAACAAGTTGGGGGGGGGGGGGGCATGTTTGAAAATTAGGCATTTTTGTGCATATGTACCATATAGAGGGCTACTTGCATTTGTTTTCTTCGGCGCTTAATGACATAATTGTGTGACAATTATTTCTTATGGTTGAACTGCGATTAGGGCAGAAACAGAAAACTAGAGAATGTATTCTCAATCTAATTTGCACAGGGTTATTGTCGCCTGAGACAGGCAGAGATTTTTGCTGCCCACTGTCATACAATTATCGCGCCCCTCTCCCCCAGAAAAAATTAGAGACTTTTAACTCATTCCAGTTGGCTGCAACTAAGTGATAAGTGTATCCTTCGGGGGGGGTTTTGGCAGATGCGTCCAAATACCTCTGGTCAAACCCCCCTACTTTTCTTTTCTCCCTAGTTCACGCATCCCCAAGATTTCTAATGATAACCTCACTGCAGTAAGATTTCACAAGCATTCAGTTTTAAAAAACCCTGAAGTTTTGATCTTGTTCATTATCGAAGTGTGTCTCAAAGCGAGTTAGATCCAAGTGACATTTTTTGTGAAATTTTTAAAATGGCTTTCCAATTTCTTCAATCCCTTATCAATGGTAATACATGAGGGTTCTGATATTGAAGTAAATGAACTGTGTTCAGAATCTAGTGATAGATTCTGTGAACGATTCAGTCTTTGATGATCCTACTTCTGTGACTAATATTAATATTATATGGACCGATATTTTCTGAATATGTAGGGAGTTTTGTTGATATCCCAATTGACAGCCTACTTATTAATGTGAAGGACAAATGATGGATGAGTTTGTCATACAAACTAATTTGTCAACCAGTCTGGCCCTAGGGCAGTGGTCTCAAACTCAGCCCCCCTCGGGCCATTTGTGGCCCACTACTTGAACAGCAAAGTTTTTTGTTAATGCGGCATGGGCGTTCTCCCCATTCTATCTATAATTTGACCCTCAGCAACAGTTTCAGTAGAACCTCACCGACTAGTGTAATTCTGATTTTTATTATGTTTTTATATTTTTGTATGTTGATTGTATGTTGGTAAGAACCAGTGGCGTAGCTAGGGTTAGTGTCACCCAGTGCAGTAAACTCATGGTGTCACTCCCCTCCCCCTTTTCAAACTTCCATGATGGATTTCTTCTTGTTAAAATAAGTCCACAGTACCCGGTACAACAAGGACAAGTCAAAAAAACATAAATTGAAGGTCATTAGATCAATTTATTTAAGAACTGTAACAACGTTAAGTTATATTTATTTTTACATTAAATTTACTTTCTTTAAAATGTTCCTTTCCTGGTCTTCAAAGCTGCAAACCTGTCGATCACTTGATCAAAATCAATGTCCTTCACCATATAACTTTCAATTGATAGCAGAGCCAGATCAGAAAGCCTTGTCTGTCCCATGGTGGATCGTCAATAGTTCTTGATAAGCCTTAGCAGACCTGTTTACCCTCAAACTCTTAAAATCGTACAATATCATCACAAAATCAATCAATACATTATCTTAATAGTAAAATAAACATCAGTATATATATAATGCATACACCTCAAAATCCTACATTGTACGCCAAAATCGTACGAGTAAACAGGTCTGCCTTAGTTTTGATAAGCTCCGCTCACATGAGGCCACAGACACACAGATCGTAAAAAATAATTGAAGGCTTAGTGAGAGTATTGGAAGAGATTCTAGGAAGTCCCATTCAGCTATGTATTTCAAAACATCAAATACTGACCAATCCATGACTTTGTGAAATTCAATATCAGCTGCCTTTAGGTGTCTTCTAAGTCTTGATATTTCTTGTAAAAGTTCATCCTCTGATAACTCATCATAGAAAGAGGTTAATTTTGGAACAGACGCCTTCTTTAATTTTAATGTGGGAGATCCTCCTCCCCCCCCCCCCTTTTTTTTAAAAATAAATTTTTTATTTTGCTCTTCAAATGGAGCTGATTGATCTTCAGTGCAATTCTAAGTTCAGGGAGGTGAATGGAAAAACAGACAAGCATGGACAATTTATGAGAGCATTGCCCTTCACCTTCACTGAGATTTTCAGGTTGTTTAAGCAGATCATATGCCTTTTTGAAAACTCTTTCCCACTATGAACTTTAACGAGTCCAAATTCAGGGCCAGACTTACTGATGAACATCTTCAAGCTATACTGAGGGTCTCAGTTGCTTCCTCACTCAAGCCAAAGTTGCTCAGCTGTGTAAGAAGAAGCGCTCCCATATCCCTGGAAACAATGATTAGGAGGAAGAAAGTGAAGCCTAGTTCTTGAGAACCCTTAATGTTTTTATTTGTTATTAATAAAGGTTGAGCAGATTTAACAGTTGTACTTTAATGAAGTTGTAATCACTTTTTTGTGGAATACTTTATGCGGCCCAGTCTCAATCAGACTACCTCCTGTGGCCCCTGGATGATTTGAGTTTGAGACCCCTTCCCTAGGGCTTCTGCCATAACATGAACTCCAGTGAATGCAGATGACATCAACAAGTACATATACATAAATATCATGTTTGGCCTTCATCAAGTTCCAGATTTAAGAATTTACTGGTCTTTTGATAAAATGTTGAGGGTCCCTGCAATGGCTGACGTCATGAGCAGAGACCGATATCAATTGATTCTTTGCTTTTTTCACGTTAATGACAGCACATTGCAACATGCTGAATAAAATTACTGTAACCTGTCAAGCATCTCTCTCCTTTGCCACACTCCTTTTTTCGAATGCCACAACTTCTGCTGTACTCTAGCGATTTTCCAAAAATACTGAATTACTACACATCATTTGTTTTTGTTTCTTTTCCATCTAAATTTAACATGTTTATTTTTACACAAATGATAAAATGGTAAAAATGTCTCAAGCCCTGGTGGACCATTTAAAACCAGTCCGTGGGTATACAGCACTGCCTTACATGTTTAAGTATATTACATTATGGCTGTAGTTTTATTGTTTTTTCAATATTTATACACATTTTTATAAATTTAACACACACCAAAAATGAAAGGCCTTATAAAATACTTAGTAATTATTTTGTATCCATTTACCTAAATAAGTTCGTGGTTGTTTTGTTCATCTAAAAATTAGATCAAATTTGTGAAAATATAGGCTTTTCTTTTTGCTGTACCTCATAAAATTAAATTATTCATTAATCTGAAAAACTGAATAGGCCTAGTATTTAAAACTTAACTATAATTTGATTAATTTTTTCTTTTACAAAGTAATGGGGGGGNTGCAAAATAATGACAGTAAAAGGTGGCTTGGGAACAAATTCTATTTTTTAATACCGATAATATATTTTTGTCATGTTTTTTTTTTTGCAGGCATGAGTACATTAAAACCAGTAGGGGTATTTTGGGACATAGAAAATTGTTGTGTCCCGAAAGGCAAATCAGCATTGAAGATCATAGAAAGAATTCGAAAGCAATTCTTTCATGACTGTAGAGAGGCAGAATTCATATGTGTCTGCGACATAAATAAAGAATCAGATAACACGATTAAGGATTTAAATGACGGCCAGGTACTTTGCACTGATAATCATTTACTATTATATTTAAGATAAACAAGCTAACAATTAGTATAATTAAGATGTTTTGGTATCTAAACAGTACGGGTAGCAATATATTTTATAGAGTTATAATTGAAACTTGACACTGTTATTATTGTTAAGTTATCAATGAATAAAATTATGAACTTTTCCTAGATCAATGTTGTGCACATTAATGCTACTGCCAAGAATGCTGCAGATGACAAAATTCGTCAAAGTTTGCGTAGATTTTCTGATTCACATCCTCCCGGTACTAAAGTCATTCTCATCTCTAGTAAGTACTACCTAATTCACAAATTTATATGTTTCAAGACAGCTGGAGTGTTCAACTAAAAGTATCAAAACCTTCTAGAGAATTTCTTTGGAAACCCCTTGATTTATAATTTGATACTGATTTCAAGGTATTTCAAGAAGAATTGGAACTGTGCTTATGTTAGTCACAATCTTTCTTAGAAATTAGTGCACCTGAAATATAATTGGGAGTAGGAAGTATTATATTTTAATTATTAAGGGTAGAAGTTACTTTTTAGACATACAGCAACAACTATTTGAAGAAAAATTCTGTTATAAAATTTGTAAAAAATTTGATTATACATCCCAACCACTTCATCGTAGATATCAGCTCGATCATGACAAATTCTTTTACTTAAAGTTAGGATCAGGACCCAAAGATATAAAAATTCTTCTGTTCCCCAGTCTGTATGAATTTATCAAAGTGCTCCCCCAGTGATTACCAAATCTAAGTGATCACTAATTAAGTCATTATTGTCAATAAAGGAGTTTCCTTATGGCTAATTTCTAAGCTAGAGAAATACTTAAGATGTCTTGTTTTTTAATTGTTATTATTGTAAAATGTTTTCTTGGTTTAAATATGTACAAAAAACATTTCCATTTATTTGGATCAACATAGAATATTATCTTAACATAAAATCTTTTACTTCTTGACTCGAGTTTATTGCATTTTTAGTTAAATTTTTTACCTTTAATGTCTCTATTTGTCAATTTGGATGTTTGGACACATTTAGTAGTACATATTCATGGTTCCACATATCACCATGTTGTGGAGGTGTATTTATGTTGTTTTGAATGAAACCCAAATTATATATATCAACTGTGTAGCCATATTATTTGTACTTTTCCTTTTTAACCATTCCAATCTAAAAATTAAGCTTGTCATTTGCCTAGGTGATGTTAACTTTGCCTCAGACCTGTCAGATCTACAGCACAGAAAGAAGTTTGATGTGGTGCTGGTACATAAAGCACAAGTCAGCGAGGCCTTGTTAGCATGTGCTACAGAGCATTACCTGTATGAGGATTTAATTAAAGATTTACCAGACAGGCCAGGATTTAAGGTATTTCTACATTACCGGAACAGTATTGCATCCAGAGATCTGTCTTTATTTATGTTAATGGTTTGTTTTAAAAAATTAATTTTGTTTTTATCTGGAAAAAAAAAGTCTAAATTATTTAGTTGTTCAAGGATAAAACTCTTTAATAAAAAATCTTTTAAAACTCATTTTCTAATAATAGTGAAAATTGGAACCATTGTAATATGACCTAACCCTACCACTACCAGCCCTGAGACACTGAACCTTACTGTCCCCTATCCCTGGACTCCTGAGCATCAAAGAGAAAAATACCAATATGATATAGAAGAAAAAACAACATAAAAAATATAGAAAAATGTTAGTTACATGCAAACAAGTGGTTAGATTAAGATGGAGCTTGGAGACTTTGTAGAAAATAGGTCTACCTTTCATCTAGCACTTATATTCCATGATATTCCATGATATTCCATCTTTGTGTGCCAATCCACCCAGCAGGATAAGCCTTGTTTCACAATGAGGTACTTCTTGCAAAGTGAGCACCACATGTTGCCCTTCACCTTCTTGGAAGAATTGTCTTTGTAAGACACTCCAGGATTGTGCTTGTTGTATCTGGAGTGCTTTTCCATTCACACAATACAGATCTGATTAGTCGATATGCCACTTGAACTGGAAACATATTCTTGATGAAATTCTGACTCCTCAAAGTCTGAACCAACCAAAATATCTATCACCTGTTGGACTGTGTTTAGTCAAGACCTATTCACTTTCCTGTTGTAGTACTTGGTTCATCAGCCGCTTGTTTCATTGTGAATTTTCAGAATTTTTTCTATTCAAACCACACAAAGTCAATTCAAACTCATGGGGGCAGACATTTGCAATAGATTGGTTCATTATTTTTAGTTTTTGACACATTTTTTTCACATAGTAGGCAAAGTACCAAAAATTATGTACAGCGATATCGAGGCAGATTCGGAAATTGCAGAAAAAGCGATACAGCAGTCTGGTAGGGTTAAAAATGTAAATTGTTAATGAAGAGATAAATAATAAAATAAATAAATACACAGGAGGTCCTCATTTTACAATGTTTTTAATGTTACAGAGGTTGTTATGACTACTTTACTACTTTTTTCAGTCCTATTTTCTCATGGAAATCTTCTTCTTCTATATATTAAGGGCCCATGAAAAATTTATTGATCATTCTGGCTCCTATGCATGTAGAGGGGACTTGGAATGTTTCTGTGCCTGGTGTTGATGAAGATATTTCACTGGTGGCAAGGGCTACTTAGTGAGGGTATCATGCACTGGGGGTTTGGAAGGCCTGAGTAAGGTGTTGTGATTAGTCCCTGATTGTTTTTGGCAGGAATGAGCAGTTCTGGCTAATCTGGCCGCCGCAGACAGTAAGTACAGTACCACGGCACTCCAGAATTTTCAGCATGCTGGTTGTAATAAGCTGTGTCGATGCTTTGGCATTGACTATGGAACCATTGCCCACATTGTTTACAGGCAATGCCTCTGTCCTCCCACCGTACAGCAAGATCACATGTTCCGCAGACCATGATGACTGGCATTTGGAACATGAGGGTGTATGCAAGGGAGGACAGCCAGCACTTGTAGAGGTGTTCGGACCAGAGTTGGATTGAGAAGAGAGACCGATGGACATCAAGCATGCACTTTGTTTTAGTCGTATGACTGTGTATCACAGTGCACGACAAAGCATGCATTTTAGATCATTTAAAAAAGCTGCCATCTTACAGAATAAAGTTACTAAGAGGCATAGCCCTCTTGTAATAGAGATGGAGGGCTTATTGATGATCTGGAAAAAATAAAAATCAGCGCCATTTACTGATACGCATAAGTCTGATTTTGGAAAAATCGCATATCTACAAATATCTAAGAAAACAAAGTGGCAGCGAAGATGTATATACAAATACGTAGTTTTCGTGTCAGTAGGATGCTTAGCAGATTACGTTGGATTTCAAGTTAAATTGCAGTAACAGACATTTATATATTAACTGAAAAGTCGATGGTTCCTTTGTTCTCATATCACTTTATTAGTGCCCCCCCCTTGAACTGAGACCCCAAGTTTGGAAACTCTACTATGCAGTTTTGTGGGTGGTCACTTTAATCTATTCTATGTTGTTGTTTTTTGGTTTTTTTTGTATATAAATATTTTTCAAGTTCTATTAATTTATGTTTGTTTTTAAACAGGAGGTACTCGATAATGTAATTGTCATCTATGGTTACAACAAAGACAATCCTCTTGATAAAGTCAGACATGTTTTGAAGATGTTGTCAAATAACTGTGGTGGGAAGGTCATATCCATAGGACCCTTGTTTGCCATACTCAAATTTGATACACAACAGCTGGCAGATAGGTGAGTTGCCTTATTTTTGAAAAGTTTTTAAAATATACCTATGCTAATATATCTCATGGCTAAAATGTCATTTTTATTATTTTCTAATTTTGTGTTTTTTTTGTTTTAAATGCATCAAATGTAAAAACATAACTAATTTATATCAATTATTAGTCTTCATTAGATACTGTTCCAAGCTTTATTTTTGTTTAACAACTAAAGTTTAACCCCTTTGTTTTTTAAACACTTATGAAGACTTCTGCTAATAGAGACACATGTTCAAAATAATTTTTTTTTCTTCTTTACATACTTTGTTCCTGTATTATTCTTAACAAATTTTTCCTGTATTACTTTTTTTGTGTATATTTTTTAATGTTTCATTTTACTTAAATGTAAAAAAAATAAATCTTATTGACCCTTGTAAGGTGGGGTTGAGAAAGTGAGTGAGTTTAAGTTCACTGACTTCAGGTGCTGGTATGACCTTGACCATGTGACATTCTTTGGATCCTTTTTTTTCTGTGCTTTGTGATTCATTTCATTACTGAAGATAACAGGTTTGAATACACTACTACTTGTTATGTCAGAACATAAGTGTTTCATAGTTGTAGATGTAATTGTTTTTACAACACAAGGATTTTCTTATATGGGATTTGATCAGTGTGAATTAGAAAGTGAGTAATAAGAAGTATAAACATCACAGTTGTCATAAATATTTATTTAAACAAAAATAAAGTCATGTATGTTTTAGTTGAATTTCTTCACCATTTAAGAGAGCTGATGGCACCATTCACTTGTGTATTATATTTTGCCTTGTGTAATTGCTTGAGTGTTCTCTGAAATTCATTGATTTTACTGTTAACTAATGCTGAAGCATGTACAGAGATTAAGCACCCATAATGCTTATCCCTAAATATTTTGACTTTCGTAAAAGAGCTTGGTCTGTTTAACAGATGCTTCTCAGAAGATGTGACCAATCTAGAAATTAATAGAATGGAATGTTTTGCAAGTTGGTGTGCACCAGACAACCTCACTGACAGTAACCATGGTTGTTTATCTGTAACCATGGGGGGTATATCAGTGACCTACCTTGTTTGCTGTCAGATGCTTTGCTAGTAATTTAAGTGTTTTAAAAAAATTAGTAACGCCATCTTTCACAATGAGAGTATGAACCTGTCACCCAAAAAGCGAAAGAATATCTACTGCTTTGTACAAGAGTTAGAAAAAGTTCAAGATCTCTTCTACATAAGCTCACAGCAATAAGAAAATAGTAGAAATACAGGGAAACAGAAACATTAGTAGTATAGTATTTGATTAATACCATATGGAGATATGGTGCCAAACAGTTGAATAAATTTATTTTCCATTTTAACCCGCTCTGGTGTGTTACGGCATGCAATATAACTTAAAAAACAAGTGGCATTTACAAACTCAAGAAAACTATGAAAATACAAAAACAATGGAAAAAGTGGCCAAAAATTAATAACTTAAAGGAATAATGAAAACCCAACTTACGGTTTCATAGAATACACTTTTACACACTTTATTTCAGGTTCCACCGAAAAGAATATCCAGAAAATGAATAAAACACAATGACTTTCTATGGCCCCGATTCATTTAAAAGATGGCGGAACAAATAAAACATTAGAATTAGCCAACAATGAAGTTTTAAAATTATAAATAATTAACCAATAAAAATTTAATTATAACATGCCATTGTCATATTATGGAAAATGTAACTCTATTAACAAAAAAATAAGTGGGGGTGAATCCAAAACAGAATTTTAACAAAACACGTAAATTATGTCATGGCTACATCTCTTTGCATTACCCTTTCTCTCATAGGGATTTTGTTTTTCCAGGACTGTCCTAGAAAATGAGCTGGCTGGCATTTTCCAAACATAATCAAAATATCTCTGACAATTTTTGTCACTCTCCACCTCTGTCTTTGATATTCAAAATTATTTTTGGTAGAAAGTTGTGAAGACTCTTCATAGTTAATTGATCTGAAAGAATGAGTGATCTTACAGTATTTTTGTCCCTCAAGTCTAAAGAACACTATTAGTTAAACAAATTTATGTTCTTAGCTTCAATGCTCATATTGCTGATCACCACATGGATTTAATGCCTGATTTCTTTTGCATTCACCACATTTCTTTGTTACAATTGCTAGCTGTTGAGGCCTTGCAACATTTTTTCTCATGACTTATTTTACTGGAGCTTAATGTCAGGCCTATGTACTCAAGTTTCAGTAGTTTTTGTCATTTCCTGGGTATTTAGTTACTTTCTAACAATAACTTCAATTGGTGAGAGAAGGTGCCAGTTTCTCTCCATTCTCCTGCTTGCAAGTTCAGTCAAGTGGACATTTTCGAGAACTTTACTTTCAAAGTTCTCAAAGACAGATGTTATAATGCTGAATTTTTGTGAAATCTTCCAAAGCTATAATGCTGAATTTTTGTGAAGTCTTCCAAAGCTGCTCTGGGTGTAGGCTGTCAAAAGCTTCCTTGATGTTTACAGATACCATATTGTTGACCACAGGTTTCTTTATACTGGGTTAACAATAAAACTACTATTCAGATTATCAATCCTAAATGGTGCCCTAATTTTTAATCAGTGTTATGAGCTTTTTATTTAAAAACTTTCAAATTGTACCTCTGAATTATTTTAAAGGTCAATTTTAAAAAAATCTCTTTTCAGGGCCAAAAAGAGGATGAATGGAGAGGATGTATTTGGTAGAAAAATAACAGCTTGCGTACCAGAAGAGACTCCTTTCTGTAATACTGTTAGAAGTGAGTTCATTTTAGTGGTTATTTAGAAATAGTGTTGTTAATTCCATTTGCCTTACTCCGACTATATTCAAGGGAAAACTTCTAAGTTGTAATAAATTTTCATTTTACAGAGTTGACTGCATCTCATTTGTCCAAGAGGCAGGAGAGCCCCTCCCCACATCGAAGGCCAGGCAGGGAGCGAAATAATTCCCGTAGTTTTACTCCTGACTTTACTGATGGTGGTGGCTTTAGTAATGGTACAGGGCATCAGAAGGCATCATACTCTTTTAATGACAACCACTACAGTGAATCTGATGCTGTGAGTACATTTAATGTAAGGTTGCTGCCTTTATCTTAAAAATGTAAAAGAGCTGAGTTGTTTAACCAGAACACTTCCTACAATTTTGTGGATGTTTAATTTATTTAAGATTTAATTATCTTTTATTTAAAGCCATTTTTTTCAAATTGTTTAACTGACTTGAAATATTCAATGCTGAAGAATCTCATTTTAGTATTAAGATTTTAAAAGGTATTAATTTTAAATGCCATCTTTAAACTTATTTCAGAGCAAGATGAAATTCTCAGACTACCATTTTTCATCAGCAACCACATTTGATTCAAAAGCATTTAAAACTCCTGGGGGGCCAGTGGGTCAGCACCAAGGAAGGTCCAGCAGTCCAGCCAACCAAAGCAACAGCCCTAACCATACACATACCCTACCTAATTCTAATTCTGAGAAGTTTTATAGTATTAAGTCCAGGCCACCATCTCTAGAAAATTCACCTTTTAATGTGGGCACAAATGCACCTATGCCTACAGCAAGTTCTATTGCCAATGTTAATATAAACTCTGGGTCTAATAAATCCTATGTATTGGGAGATTTGAGTAAGGCTGCAAGTGGAGGTGGGACCATTACAGTATTTAAATCTGCTGAGACTGCAAGACGTTTGGCTGATATACCAATACCTTCATTTGGCTTTAGAGACATTCCACCACCTTCCATGCCTTCAAACAATAACAATTATACATTAGACCCAAATGCAACTTCATTTGATCCTATAAAGGTAAGATTTTTACAACTCTTTAATCCATATCTTTTAACGTAATTTTAATAATTAAAAGATATTTCCATTTATTATTTCAATGAACCTTGGCATGCATATAAATGTTATTAATTACTACAGAATTAAATCTTAAAGTATTAAATTCATTGCTTGTTACAATTATCTGATTATAGCTGTCATTATATGAGCTCAACTTGTCTTTCAGTTGATTGAAAGTACTTCCAAAGATAGTGCCACTTACATGATGTCCTCATCTAACAACTTTGAGCCACCACCCCATCCAGATTCCCAGCAATCAGTATCGAAGTATGGAGATCAAACAAATTCTACTGCATCCAACAGTGGCTTAAATACATCTCAGGGTTCAGCTTTCACCAAACTACAACCAGCAACTCCAAACATTTATCAAATGCAACAAAAACCTGCATATAATCACACTCAGCATCACCCTAGAAGCATGTCAGTGCCAGCACATCATCTCATTGTTGGTAAAGATAGGTTGACTGTTGAGGATGAGATTTGCCTGATGCATGGCTACCCACCATCAAGTGCCTTCCGCAGTCACTCACAGAATACTGGCACTTTTAAGAAACCAAAATCTCCTCAAAAGACCTCAAAGTAATTTAATTTTGCTTTCAATATCTAGGAAAATATTTTAATTTATTTAATTTATTATTAGCTAGTCAGTGAATAACGTTAGTTTTTTTCAACTAATGGGTCTTCCACTCTTGATTTGCTTCTTAAACATGTTACATTTAGGTGTTTGCACTAAAAAAAATTTAATAAAAGATTTTTTAAATTAAAATTCCACAACTAGAATTTGTTAGTTATTCATGGAATATCAAATCTTGTTTACACTACTAACTTTTTGGTCTATTTTTCATTTTAGCGGCAAACAAAATTCAAATGGTTGCCTTCGACAAATGAGTCCAAGGCTTTTTTCTAGCTCAAATTCTAGCAACACCAAAGAGATATCACGTCAGAGTTTTTCATCAGATGGAGAAGATAGGTAATTTGTGTTTTTCATTAATAAAGTAGTATCATAATATCCAATGCAAATTGACGGTATAAATTTATTTTAACAATCCAAGACTGCCTAGGTTCTTATATATCATTGTAGGGTCATAATGTTACAATTTATTTGAAATTAAATTGAAAAAACCTCAGCTTTTTTTTAAAATAACTGAAATAAATGTAGTGAAACTGAAAATAATTAGAAAAAAACATCCAAGCAATTTTTTTTATTACCTATTTTTTCATACCATTTATTAAGGTTTTTTCACAGTATTTACTTTTACAATGTATGCATAATAGAATTACTCTTAATTGGAATTTCAGACCCTTCAGTCCTTCCAACAACTTATCTTGTAATGTCAAGCCAGGATTCAGACCACGACTGGCCTCTGCTCCTACAGTACAAGTACCTAATCGCACTCCATCACCATTTTTTTGTCCAGCTCCACCTAGGCCTCGTCCTAAACAGTATGGCAGTAACTTGTACCGTGTGCCAACTCCAGATGAGATTGGTGAACCTTCCACAGATTATACTAGTCCAAACTTCAACCCTGACAGAGATCCATTTGTGGAACTCATTGTTTCCAACCTGGACTACAACATTCACCCAAGGGAATGGAGAAAGATTATTTATGCTACATTTTTTCCTCATGTTAAAGTGAGTTTTTAAATTGCATTAGAAGTTAAACATTATCTCAAAAGTTAGCCCAAAAGCTAGGAATATTTTAATTTCTTTTCATTTTACCCTTTCTTTTCTCACTCACCAGTAATTTTTTTTTAAAAAATGGTTTCTTAAACAAAATTTGTCAGTTAAAATTTTTGTTTATAACGCTAGTTTCATTGTGCATTGTACTTTTTGTGTCCTATTTTATATTTATACGTAATTGTACTGACCCAGATTTTGAGCATTCATGTCAGACTCCAAGCTGACAATACATCGGTGGCTACTGTACGGCTAGGATCAGAGTCAGATGCCAGGTTTGCCATATCACAGTTTCATCGTCGGAAAATAGGCTACAAGAGAATTAATGTGCAGTTCAAGACCGATATTTCCCAATCTCCAGCTGATAGTTTAAGGCAAGTCAATGCTATACTTTTTTAATCATTTTAAAAGCTAAAAATTTTAACTTAAAAAATTTTCTGAAGTTAAATGTTTTATTTTATTCTCCAGGGCTGACACTATTGCACTTCTTATGGAGGCTAAGGAAAATAAGATGGCATTATCACGACTCATTGATCTTTTTGATAAGCGGTATGTAAGATTTATTCAAAACGTAATTAATTTGCTATTAAATTGTTTTTTTTATTTAAATGCCATCATTAATTTTATTTTCCCTTGAAAGATTTCATAAAGCGGTCAGCGTATCTGACATATACAAGATGAGGGATACTATACAGATTCTCGAGACAGGAGGTGCTGGCAGATGGGTAAAATTACATCCGGGGATTCGAAGGTCTCCTACACCTATTTTGGGCTTTGACGGAGAGGTAAAAACAAGTTAATTCTAATATACAGTTTACATTTACGCCAAGAATATTTTTGTTTCATCGGTTATATATTAAGGTTAATGTGTCAAAGTTATCTATCTACAAATCCTTATTTTATATTTCCAGCCAAGTGAAGTTTTAGAACAACCTGTATGCCCAATTCATTGTTCTGAGGGAAGCGTCTTCTATGTTGAGGCACTCAATGCTTACATGCTGCCAAATGTTCAGATGCTGAGGAAACATTTTGCTCCACAGCTTCACTCCCTTCTGCTCTCCCACAATGGATACATTCCTTTAATGAGGTCCGTTAAGTTTGAGATAAATTTCATTCAAAAAAGATTAAATAATAGAATTTCAAATAGTGGCTTCATTAACTGGGTATTTTTAAATGCAATTTTTTAAAAATTTTGTCAAATTTTAGAATCTTATATTCAAAAGGTGCATAAGAACGGTGGCGTAGCTTGGATTTTTTCGCGCCCCCCCGCCCCCCCCCCCCCAACCTCCTATTTCCACGGGGGAAAAACTGCAGTGCTGCTCCTTAGTTATAAGGGTTAAAGTGCCACCTCCGCACCCCCTTTCCTACACACCTGATAAGGCACACTTCCTTTTTACTTACAATTTCTAGAATAAGAAATTTATAAACCCTTCAGTATCCATTTTAGGGGGTGTCTGTACAAAATATTTCTTCACAAATGTAGGATTCTTTATGAACAGAAGGCACTGAAATGTTAAAAAGTCATTTTATACAATTACATTATGGAAAGTATTGATGGAATAACCATTGTTTCAGCTTTCCTGCTTGCTATGCTGCCGAGTTTAAACCTCTTGAGCCTTGCAATGATGATGGCATACCACTGGAACATGTCATCAGCTGTGTGCCAGGGGTGGAGATAACTGTTTCAAAGATTGGGGTTAAAGTTATACAGTTTCAGGAAAATAGGGAACAGTTTTATGGTGAGAACAAAACTGATTGCTAAGTTTCTAAAATATGAATGTTTGATTTTATTAACGAAGACTTTTATTTACAATTGTTAAAGGTTGCAACAAAATATTGTATTAGAATAATAAAATGTAGGCATTTTCCTGTGTTTCAGATATGATGAAAGGAAGTGCATGGCAGGAACTTGGAAAGATCAGTCGTGAAGTGATGGAATTGTTACGCCAACAACCCACCTGCAGCATGCCTGTGTCCAGGTTCATCCCTGCTTACCACCAGTACTTTGGTAGACAGTGTCGAGTGGCAGATTACGGCTATACCAAGTTGCAAGAACTGTTTGAAGCAATACCTCATGCTATACAGGTCTGATGATCTATCCTAAATGGCCAGTTTTGATAGATTAGATCTTTGAATCAAACTTATTTTGGAAAAATCCTTCATTTAAATTTTTTGAATCTGTAACTGTAAGATACACATTAGTTTTTTTTTAAATGGGGCATTTTTTAAAATGCAGAATTTAACTTGATCATGTGTTAATTTGATGCAGTCATGTATAGCAGACGTCTTCTCATATCTGTTAAAACTTCAAAACTTTGGAAATATTGTACCATTTAAAATGCTTCTTTGACATTTAACAATTTAAAATGTTTCCCGGGCATTTAAATTTCCCCCTCAGATCTTAGGTACAGGGGACAGAAAAGCCATCACCTTGAGCCCACGTGCACAGTTGAAGAGGTTTACCACCGACATTCTTAAAGTGGTGAAAGCTCAACCTGCCAAACAAATTATGCTAGATACATTTCCCATTGCCTATGGTATGTGTTTTTAAAAATTTAATCAACTAAAACAATTTTAATATATTTAACATGACATAAGTTGTATTTTTATCATTAATTTACTCATTCAAGAAATAAATCTAAGAATTTTAACATGTTCAGTTTCCTTTTGGAATCTAGCAGTTTTTTATTCCTGCATTGGGTTGTGTGTTCTGTGATGTCAGTTATGGGGTTGATTAAAAACAAACATTGAAATCTTCTGTTAATTTCAGAGAAAGTCATAGAAAAACCACTATATCTACCTCACTATGGAGTCTGCTTTATGGAAGATGTTTTGATGGACATACCAACCACAACTTTAATTGTAAGAAATGCTTATTTAAATCACTGATTTGAAACACTTATTCAGAGACTAACAACAGTATCGAACACGCTTTATGTAAGGTTTTTTTTTTCATTTTCAGTTTTAATAATTTGTCTTAAGAGTGTTTTAAGAATTCTTTAAAGTTAAAATAAATATCTGTCTTATCTTTAGGTTATTGAAGAGGGTAATCATACTCTACTTGCCTTACCAAGAAGAGGTAAGATATATATAAAGTTAGTCTCCATTGCTTAAGGTAGTGTTCATAAACTTTAAGTCAATGGATACAGATGGGGAACTCCACACTCCCACTTTGTAGAAAACCTTTTTCCCTGAGCTGCCTTGCTGGAATGTTTTTTCCCAAGGCTATAAAATACAGAATAAATCTTGTCTAGGGCATACAATTAAACAAAAATTATGTATTTTATTATAAACATTGCTTAAACCTCAACATATACTTTCTTTGCAAGTATTAAGTGTCTAATAAATGTTAAATTCCTGAATTTAGTACACCCTGCTACTTGATGTTTCAGACCAAACCTCAGAAGAAGTGGAGCGGACCAAACAGTTTGCTCTTGAAGTTGTAGACCTGCTCAAACACAAGCCAGAATGTCGAATGCCTTTCAATAAGTTTATACCAGCCTATCATCACCACTTTGGTCGGCAGTGCCGTGTTGCTGACTATGGCTTTGGAAAACTTGGAGACTTGTTTGAAGCTATCAGCCACATAGTTGAGGTAGGGAGAAACTTAATGTTTTACTCCCTGAATCTAAATGACAAACTTAATCCCTGCATCTAAATGAAAACTATACTCCATCCATAAACGACATATGCTGTAGTGCATACCTCTTGACAATTTTTGTTGAATCCTTGAACTATCATGATGGCTAGTTTTTATTAATCAAATTTTCTGGTATATCAGGAACTGTAGTTTCTATATAGTGTTTTTAGGTTTATTATTCGCCTCCATGCGCAAACCCCAAGCTGGTGTAAGTCTCTTCTCTACATCATCAATCCTTCTAAATCTTGATCTACCGGTGAGCCATCAGCCGCTAGGTTTCTGCCTGTAGAACCTTTTTGTTGCTCTACAATCCGGTATCCTTTCAATATGTCCTGTCCAACACAGTCTGCCTTTTTTTTCATTGTTGGGACTGTGGGTGGGTGTACAATTGATATAGCTCTTGGTTTGTACAGATTCTCCAAATATCATTGTCTATCACTGAGCCATATATTTTCCTCTCCCATGTATTGAGCAGATTCTCTGCTTTTCTGGTTAGGGACCAAGTCTCGTTAGCGTAAGTTACTAATGGTCTTATGATAGTGGTATATATTGTCTTCTTTGTTCCCCTTGAGATGTTATCTTTGCATATAATATTCCTAATGGGCAGATGATTATGTGGTGTTTTATTTCTATTAGATTGAAGAAGAAGGAGAAGAGCGTCTTATCCACTTGAGTCCTGCTGAATTAAGGAAAGTGTTGTGTGAACAACTAACAGCTCTCATTCGTCCATCTGGTGCCATACCTATCAATAGAATTCTGACAGAGTATGCCTCTCACTTTGGCTTCTGCTTGAAACTTGATGATTTTAGAGTGGACTCTGTCAAATCTCTGTTATTGAAACTGAAATCTCATATCAAGGTGAGCTATGCATTAGTTCTCATTTTGTCACAGCATAATTTATCAAAAATTGCTCTTAAAGTTATAACATTATCATGATTCACATCCAGAAGCCATTTGGGCATGTGCCAGAGGTAATGGTGAAGAATTTATTTGCAACAAAATAGTCACCATTAGCAGCATTTTCAAATTTGTAGACTTGAAAAACTATTTTTAATATTTGGCTATTTTTTTTAAAAATCCAATTATAGCTTTTTAAAATCATTTTAGGATTTGGTCAAATTTCCTCCATTTATGTAGTAGAGCAGGGGTCTCAAACTCAAATTATCCGGGGGCCGCAGGAGGTAAAGTCTGAGTGAGACTGGGTTGCTTCCAGTATTCCACACAAAAAGCGGTGACAAATTCAATAAACTTTTACAATCTGCTCAACCTTTAGAAATAACAAATTAAAAAAATTGAGGGTTCTCGAGAACTAGGCTTCACTTACTTCCAACTCCTTGTTGCCAGAGACCTGGCGGTGCTTCTTCTTATACAGCTGAGCGGGCAACATTAACACTGAACTTTGCTGTCAGCTATCGTGCCGAAAAATATTGCTGTGCGGGACGCAAATAGCCCGCACGCGCTGAGTTTGAGACCCCTGTAGTAGAGGAAACTATTATGATTATAAATCTTTGTTCTTTGACAATCACCCACATATTTATGTTCTTTGACAATCACCCACATATTTATAGTTCAAGTTTCCCCTAATTTACATTGTTGAAAAGTTTGATTACAAATGTTCAGATTGAAACTCGTAATGGCCAGGAGTGTGCCTGCTTAGTAAGAGAGCTTCATATTCCACAACTTGGTTTAGAAGTTATGCAAATTTTGATGGATGAATCTGGTGGTAGTCTGCCTTTAATGGAACTTTGCATGCGCTATGAATCACTCTTTGGTGTTTGCTGTAATGTGGATCAGATAAGAGATGAGTTATCTGACTATATGCAGGTAAGTAAAAGTGTTAGCAGTTCATTGGTTTTGTTATTAGTTATTAGGTCTCATTAGTTCTGTAATAATTTTTTGATAATATTTTAGCAAATAAAGATATAAGACAGCCGAAGGATTGCATTATGAGAATTAAAAGAAATTAATTTTTTTAATTTATGGGACGATAAAGTATATATTTGATCATAATTACTTAATGAATACTCTATCCATTTTCAGATTGATGAAGAGGAAGGTGAAAATGGAGGTGTGATAAGACTTACAACACAACAGATGTTGGCTAGAAATCTGCGTCTGCTGCTGCTCCACAGGGACCGTATCACAATGAGTGAACTTTCTTCTCTGTACAAACATCAATATGGGGTGGAGCTTACCCCTGCACTCTACGGATTTCAAACACTTTATCAACTACTATTGTCTTTCCCCCATATTTTAGAGGTTAAAGGCAAACCTACACAGAAGTTCATCATCCTATCTGGCATGCTTGCCACACCAGGTCAGTTGGCTAACAATTTATTTGCTGAGGTCAATTACCTTTGTATAAACACCCTTTTCTGTTTTTTCCAGAGAAGGTGTATGTCACTTGTGGCCACCTCCGTATCCGCCATGTTTTGCTGTCCGTCGTCGTGGGCTTTCTTTATCAAATTGAGCCTCTATTTATTTTTAAAGTTTTTGAAATAAAGGAATTTAATTTTTTATAAACATTTTGATATCAATTGAATCTATCCTTTCATTCTCATTAAGGAATAGCAATAAATCTAATAAGCCTAAAAGCTTTAATAATTTATATTTTCTTGCTTTCAAGGTGTGCATTCATTGTTATTGCTATTTTAGGTACTCTACCTCCAGCTAGAGTTGATGTGACATCACCAACACAGTTTAACTCTTCCAATTACCAGCACGGTAAGAGATGGGCTGATCAAATGATTTGCCGATCAAATGATTTGCCTGAAATAAACACACCTTGGGTTAAATCTCAATGGCTCAATGCTTGTTAAAAAGATAAATTTAGGTGTGTTGAAAACATGACAAACCTAGACACACAAATATACAATTATATTGATATGTCATCTGTACATGGTAGTTGTCAAGTATTTTGTCTAATTTAGATCCCAGTGTGTCAACAAGCTCTCCTCCTGGTGCCAATAAAACTCCAGCTTCTGAATTATTACGACATGCCTCCCAACTTTGGGACTTCAGCATTGCACAGCAAGTATGTTTTTTACTTTTTCTTCTGTCAACTGTTATTAGTGTAAGCAAGTGTATGTATTACTTTATCTTGACAAACCTGTGAACTCTTAGTTAGATGGTTGGTGTTCTGAATAGATGGTTTCACTTAAACTTAAGAATTCAGGGCTTACAAGAATGTTTTTCTGATCTGGGGGATTTTTTAAAGTCTTTTTGGACTACCACAAGAGAATATTATTTAACAAATGCATGCCCTTATTTTTTAAATTTGAATGGTCACAAAGCGAAAGCAACTATCCCATAACTATTTTCAATATACCTTTAACGGCAATGCGATACAAAAAGGAATATTTATATACATACTGCAAAGTCATATTTTAAACTGGTGAGTGATGAAAGGTACATAAGGTGTTGATATTGGTTTTATTTCAGAGTCCTAGTGGTCCTACAGATGCCTCCAATTCCTCCAGCGATCCAAGTGCAGCTCCTATGTCCTGTACACGAATTATGGAAATTTTGAGCAATGCTATGTCATCATCCTCAGTCGCTAGTAAACAAATCCCATCCACGGATATCTCACCAAATGGTATCCCAGTAGCTTGGCAGATGAGAGCAGGAGGGGACAAGGTAATTTTTATATACTTGTGATAGTGTTGCATGTCTCAAAGGTTTCTTTACTTCAAAAATATTTTTTTTAAACTCCACAATTTTGTATTGGCAATAATCATTTCAAAGTTATTTTTTGTTAGAAAGTATTTCATTTTTTTTCTGTTATTGCATTTAGAAAAGATTTATTTTGGAAAATAATACTATTAGGCTGGGTAAATTATTTCATTACCAGTCAGAAGATGCAAGATAGAAAGGTCAGTCCTATGATAAATAAAGCTTCATTTTTTTTATTCTAGGTTTTCAGTGGCAACATTGGGAATAGTTTTCACAGCCAAGACCCTCGGTCACCTAACAACACGCACCTAGAATCTGACAATGCTGTTAGTGGCATTGAAGTTTTGACCATTTCTCAACAACCAGAAATCAGAAACCATGAGACATCAGAACAAGATCAACTCTTCCAGGAAAACCTGAGAGAAGACCATGAGCTGTTCTCACCTTCCAACCAACCTTTGGATACAAGCTCCACTAACTCACAGCTCAACTCATCGGAAAGCTCTTCAAGCTCCCCAGTCAAGCGTAGACCACGCATTGCAGCTAATTTCAACATGGCTTCTTCAAAGGCAGATAATGTCTAATCGACATCTTAGTTTAATGTTGGCATGTGACTTTTCCCCATCACAAGATCAGTGAAGAAATCTTAGTTTCAAACGGAGTTATTTGGTTGTAAACAATTCTGAATTTCTTGAGATGATATCATTGGGTTATTGTCATAAAGACCATAATTAGCTAAGTAAGCTGAGTGGAATAGCTGTAACGGCCATTGTTTCTCGTTATATTTTATTGTCACTGTATTATCCTGGTACATGGTTCCATTAAGTCTTTCATTGAAAATTTACTTTTTTTAAAGTCTTAATAATAAATTTCCCTTGGAACATTACCCTATAAATGTAATTAAAACATTACATTACTTAAGCCTATTCATGGCTGTACCATTTTTAAATAGCACTTAATTTTGTTAATTGTCCAAACTTTAGCCACTTAACTGAAATGACTGAAATGTCTACTTCAAACTTTACAAGGTATTAAGCTGATGCTTAACTGTCATGTAACTCCTTGGGTGTTGTTTTCTAGTTGTTTGTATTAGTATTCATTATCACAGCTATTTTATGAAACTGAATAGACTAGATCTAAAACTCTAAACATTTTTACATTCAATCCAATCTTAGGCTGTTGGGTAGATGTGTTATGTGCTTGTTGCATGATGAAAAAGTTCTACTACTGCAATTTTTGTGCTCATTCATTGGTTGATGTTTTCCAATGTCATCAGTCTTGTAGAATTTCTGTGATATTTTTGTAGCATTGGTTTTATGTGTTAATATCAGAAAAATAATTCAGTGGCCATTGCTGTTTTTATAAAATTTTATTCTACTTGAACTAATTTTTTTTACTGTTTTTGTATATAGGCAAACATTTCCCCGATTTCTTTATGGATATTTCATTTTTTGGAATCTTACACCAAGTGCTCTTGTTGCTGAAGAATGCTGAACTTGTGCTTTTATTGCCAGCATAATCAATCAAGTTTCATCAATTTTAATAAATCATTCCTAATGGCAAAAAAATATTCAAATGTAGAAAAAGTTTTGTATTTCAGGGAAATTTCTAGAATGTGTAACTTCAATAAATTTTCTCCTTTAGTGATTTTCACCATAACAGAATAAAATGTTTTACAGTTTTCCTCTTATAAAAATAAAAAATTTTTAAGTGACAAATTCCCCCTCCCCCGCCTTCCCCCTCTCAATTGCATATTTGAGAGATTTAACAAGTCCGTTGTAGCCATGGATTTGTGCAATAGTAATGTATATTTAAAATAAATGACACTTATATACATTGGAGAGTTACATAATTGGTGCCAATGGTTTATTTACATGATTCATGCTGTCAGAAGATGCAATAAACTGGATTCTACTGGTTATATATTCAACTCTGTTTCTGCCATACATGACATTTTTAATTAGTTGTCTGTAATCTGTTTCCACTGGGTGATGCAATGTTCAACATTTTACATATTTTATTTCATTGTCATTTATTTCTTTTCAAAACAAATTTTTAAATTTCCAGGTGACAAGGAGGTACTTGAATCAAGTATATTTTATTTACATAGATGAAGAAATGTGTGATCTAGGAACATAACCATTAGTTAATTATTAATTTTCTACTAGATTCCTTGCATTTAGGTCCACCCTTGAAATTTGCTCATGGCAGTCCCTGCCCTTGTTGTTTTATTAATGAAGTAAGTTTAAGCATTGGTCCAGTGTACTGTTCTTTGTATGACTAAGCCCAATGCTGTGACCTGCTTTGACCGTCCACCTGTCTCTCTGGTTTGTTTCAGCCTGGTTATTTGTTTTCTTCTGAATGTGACAAACCAGTGAGCAGGGTTACAAGTGCTTCTACTCCTTGCTCAACACTGACAGATGGGGTTTGCCTTTTCTTGTTGAAAAGTGCTGGTTGGTGGCTGCCCATGAGGTTAGGTTGTATGTACACTTGGTGTATTTTGGCCACTCATGACTGAAAGAAAATTCCCAGGGTCTACACACGGACATGTAACTCTTGGTTTTTTATGAACTATGCAAAGTTGAGCGTGGAATAGAAATGTATGTCATTTGATCAATGTAATTGTATGTTATAATTGTGTTTTTTTTTTAAAAATCAAATGTAATGGTGAGCCATTTTCACACAGCTTGATTACATTGTGGGTCAGCTTAAAATGTGGAGAACATTGTAGTGTTGGTCTGCTATTGAAATGAATAGCTGTGTGAGAATGAGCTTGGTAGATATTGATGTATTTCTTTTTCTGTCTATGCTTCTCATTGATGACAGGGACTGCCATGACTTTTGTACCATCCTCGTAAACTTTCAATTTTCACAAATATGAGATTTCATAATGGTGTCAAATCTCACTCAAAAAATGTACGTGAGAATTTTTAATTTTTAAAATCAGGTATTGTGTGCATATTGCCAGCGCGCCACACAACTCTCGCTCACAACAACACACATACAGTGACAGTATTTGAAACATAACATGAGAACTTTCTGTTTATAATCTTTGTCAGTTCCAGTTGTATTTGTTGGTGCTTCTTATATAGCCTTGTACATGTTGGAGATCTGGCCTCTGAGATGGGATAGAATACATCAGGCCTACGAGATGGCTAGTTTCTTTGAACATAAAAAGCCATAAAAGCTGTTCATTATGCCCAGCTGCTTACTATTCCAAATCTTGGCTACAGCTCTTGCTTGGTCCAGTATAGGAAATAAGAAATTTGTAGAATGTCATTCATTTTTTCACCTCCTCTTACAGGCAGTAATTAATGGTACAAATTAATGTATCAATAAACCTTTGTCCAACTCTACTGCAAAGAAACTTTTTTTAAAAATGTAGATTTCTGGTCAGTTTGAATATCTTTCTAGGATTGATTTTCATTTTTGAAACCTGGTCACAAAGGATTGAGAAGGGTCTTCAGTTATGTTATAGAACTAAGAATTTGATTCCACATATTACTGGTTATGTTGTCTTATAGTTGTATCTGTACCACCATGCCTATATTTTGCAATAAGAATATCGCAGTGCAAGCTATGAAATGTTCAAAAATTTCGGATGTGCTATGGTTTCTAAGAGAAGAAACTTTTTGCCTTTTTACAGGGGCAGTAAAAAAAAAAAAACATGAATAAATAAAAAAACATTTGGTCGCTGAACATTTTCTTAGGCCTTTTTTTAAAACTTGCTTGTTATAAGTGAATGAGCTTCTTTTACCGTGTGTGATTGCTACTTCAAATAATACTCTCACATCCTAGACCAGTCATAGCCGCATGCAGATTTCGTTGGCCACAGGCTGCCACTAACCAACATAAATGTCATGACATAATTTGCGATGCCTGTTCCAGAAGTGAGAAATTGGCATGTCACCGGAAGTCTGAAAACACTTGCTGACATAAATAATAAACAAAACGTTTTTATTTCACTATTTTTCCCACACATCAACCAAGCTGAGCTGGTGCAGGGAGGACCTCTTCTTTCCCACACATCAACCAAACTGAGCTGGTGCAGGGAGGACCTCTTTTTCCCCCACCCCCTTTAAAAAAAATAAATAAATAAGTTTCATATATGCCAGAGCAGTGGCGAAGCTATGCTTAGTGCCGCAAACAAATTTGATGCTTGTCTCGCAAAAAAAACAACTGCAGTTGGCTGAAAACGCCGCACCTCCTGATAAAGATAAAATTGCGAGTGCTTTTAGGGACAGACCGCCCCCCCCCCTCCCTTCCTACGCCCCTGGCCCAGAAACCGCTCTAAAGGCTCCATAAGTTAGGAAACACTGGGTTATGGTAACGACTTTATTTTATTTTCCTTTACGTCTTGAATAAATTGATTTTTTATAACAAAACAAAAAAAATTGTGTACAGCTGGGGTGATAACTCGATGTACGCACGCATAGGGGTGTCCAGAAAATTACTGGTGGAGTAGGGGCCCTAAAATTTGACACTTTTTGCTTACCGGTACGTAATGTATGGATGACCCAACAGTCCATTTTGGACTCCGGTCTGCACCACCACACTATTCCATTCAGACAGATCCATGGCTTTTCTTCTCGGCACGCGGACCCTCAGCCCTCAACCAATCCATAAATACGTATCCACGTCATCAATCCGTCATGGTTAACCGGTTAGCCGTCTGCCCCTTTGGTTTCTGTCTGCTAACCACTTCCGCTCCCTATCTGACGTCCTCCATAGATATCCTGTTCAGCGGAGCCCGATATATTTTTTTTTAAATGCATCGACTTTGCAGCGTATATTTCTTGATTTGTCCCAACTCTTCACCAATCACTGACATGTAAGGGCTGGTATATTTTCTTAGGATTTTCATCTAACAGTATTTGTAACTTTTTTTGGGAGAAAGTACAAAATCGATAACAAAACTCGATCCCTCTAGCCTCTAATATATTTTTTCAATTTATTTATTTTTTTATTATTATTTTGGGGGTGGGTGTAAAAATAATCAGAGACGTAGTTAGATTTAGAACTTTCCATAGCGGGCCAAGACCTTTGCCTCCCCACTTTCACGAAAAAACTGCGGTTGGGGGAAACGCACGCCCCCCCCCCCCTGAATATAGAGGAAAAATATACCACCGGACCCTGGGTGCGCCGTCGCCCTTGCCCCTCCCTCCCGCCCTACGCTCCTGTTTAAAATGACTATTACTTTCGTCATTTGTTCGTCAATACTAGCCTACAACAATAAAATATTTTTTTTTTAAATGGACACCCACACTTACATACAAGATAGTGAAACAAATCAGCTGTTGTTTACAGAATTTTTTTTAATTTAAATTACTATTTTTACACCAATATTTATGGCATTACAAATATTGAAGACTCATTTAAATAATTGGGCAAGATACAAATCATACTTCACAAACATATAAATAAAACCTGTCGTTTTGAACAAACTATATCTTCTTGTTTCTCACAATGTCAACCCATCTGTCGTAAATAGTCGACCTAAGGGTTTTCATAAATTTCTCCTGTTTGGACAGAAGTCCAATGTTCAGTCCATGTTAACATAAACTAGCACACGATAAGCGCTTAACCAAATGAAACAAATCGATCTATTTCCGAAATAAAAAAAAAAAAAAAGGGTTAACACCCATCACACTCTTAAAAAAAACACAAACTAATTGTCACTATCCTATTGTTATACTGTTATTAGCCACTGGTGTGCCTACATAAAAAAAAAAAAAAAAAAAAAAAAAAACATTTTATCTCAAACTACTGTTTGTTTACTAGTAGGCTAACTCTAAAATTCAAATCAAAAACATTTTCCTGTAGCGTCCTCTTGGTAATCCCAGAGCCTAAAAAATCCTACTGAGCATTTTAACAACGCACCCTGGCCTTGAGAACCACTGATCTCATTTTCAAAATAAAACGGTAACTTAATTTTTATTGTCTTAACATGTCTGTTGAACTCCAGAGTTGCACACATAGGCGCCATTGCTCAAGTGGGTCTAAATTAAATATTGATTGACAGTGGTGGTGAAACTAGGGTTAGTGCCGCACGGAGCGGGCCGAGGAAGTTGCCACCTCCTTTTCACGAAAAAAAAAACAACAAAAACAACAACTCTGAAGTTTACCGAAAATGCCGCCCCTCCGTATAAAGAAAAAAGTGCCACCCGTGGCGGACCACCTCCCTCCGCACCCCCTTTCTAAGCAACTGATTGTCGGATAGGAGACAAAAGCCCACTCACAAGAATAAAGAGATCTCTGTTGTTGTTGTTCTACGATATAAAGCTCAATGTGACTCTGTTTGTCATCCTACCTAAAATACCCACCGACTCTACTGCTATAAAACACTAGAGATTAAGTTCGTTTGGTGTCGGGTGGCTCAATAGCAACAAATTACAAGGCAACATCTTTGCACATTCCTTCCGATTTAATTGGGATACATTTGATAACTTAACTACTTGAAGATTTATCTGAATGATTTTTATGTTGCCACTATCTTAAGGATCCCTTAAATGACCCACTTTTGAATCGGCCACCTGCGGTAACGTCTTAACCATTGGCACACTAAGCAGTCGCCCAGGGCCTCGCACTTCCAGGGACCTCACGCTTGTAATGGACATCATGATGTCCATACTATTGTTAATGAATAAATGAATGAAAGTTCTTTTGCCAAGTTAAGTTGCTTTAAAAGTGCAGCGGTAAGCACGTCAAATAATATTCTATGTTAAAGTCAATTCCATTTTTTGTTACTAGTTGTATAAAAGTTTTCCTCTGGTTAAATCGTCAATTTAACAAACAATGGAGGGACTTACGGGGGAAATATGTTAAATTCGTTCAAAGAGCAGTGGCGTAGCAAAGGGGGTGACACCCAATAGAAAAATTGCATATTCACAGAGCGCACACTGCTCGGTCCAACCGATTTTCATTAATTTCATTAAAATTAAAGGATAACCAATCACTCAGAAATTCTACACACATGTAAACAATCCTATTGAGTCTACACATATGTAACCAATCCCAATGAGTCTACATATATGTAACCAATCCCATTGAGGCTACACACATATAACCAATCCCAATGAGTCTACACATATGTAACCAATCCCAATGAGTCATTTATTTAAAGTTTCATGTTGATGCGTCAAAAATGAGGCAACCCGATAAATAGGTCAGAAAAACACCGTTTAAAAAGGGTGCGGACCACAGTGGGTGACACCATCCCAGGGGGTGACACCCAATTGAAAAATTGCATATTTACAGAACACAATCTGCTCGGTCTAAAGGAATTTCATAAAAAGATAACCCATCATCACGTGTAACTAATTCCAATGAGGCGTCAGAAGCACCTTTTTGACCATTATTCAACGCCGATTGAAGTGTTCGGTAACTTTCATAATGACAGGAAGCAATATTTATCTTAATTCTGAGAAATAAAAATTTCCACTGCAACCAAAAATGATATGGTCGGACGATTCTAAGTAAATGAATCGAATCGGTAAAAATTAAAACATTAAAAATGAACTTTTACCCATTTTAAGGTCAACAAAATAATATTTTACAACACTTTCTATTAGCTCTTAATAATTAATTTAAATTAAAAAAAAAAATGCTTTTGAAACCAAATATATCTAACCCAGAAATTATTTATTGTATAGATACTTTGTAAAACTGGACATAAAATGTGTTGATATCGAAGACAATTATTGATTACTATATAAATGTGTGCATTATAATACCCATAGTCATAGTCATAATATTTCTGCTACGGTGCTGAAATTATTATTTTGAAACCATAATCAAGTTTGTCTAAATATTGTTATTTAATCATCAATTCTTGAACCTACACTAGTTTAAATGAATGATTCAGTAAATTCTTGCTGAATTTGATATTGCCCATTATTGTGCATTCCCTTAATCTATATTATTATGTTCCCCATTTACACCAACATCTTTGTTATGAAAAACTAACCAGGCTGACAAACTAAATTGCTTTAAATATCTTTTCGGCTGGCATTTTCGTTTACAGAGTGGCTATAGGTACCCTATAGCAATAATTGGCTATTCGAACATCGGCTGGTCACGTGAGGGCTTTATAATTAATTCGGTTGTCACGTGACGGTTATGACGAATACTTCCTGTTGGGTTGCCATCTTCTTCTTCTTCTATATCTTAAGGGCACACGATCAATTTATTGATCATTTTGGCTCCTAGATTATCTTAGAGCCATTATTATCAATCGAGAAATGTGCCATTTTTTAAACGACATTCACGGCGCGATGAAGAGAACAATTTGACGTACAGCTAAAATCAAGTAAGAATACGTTTATGTTTATATTTTATTGTATTTTTTAATTCTATTTTAAATATAGTTCTATAATCATTAACATGACATCATTCAAGATCAAGTTGCTTTTTTTTTTTGGCGGCAAATCGGCTACAGCTACTGTCTTATCTGTAATTGTAATGAAAAGTTTGGCTGCGGCTATTCGGACCCGGTATCAGAAGTGGAAACTTCAATTTTAATTCACCGTAAAAATTATTATTATTCACACTTCCAATAAAACAAATGTTCTTTTGAATAAAAAACAATTCGCAGAGATCAGCCCGCGGCCGCCATCTTGGTTATCGTGACCCACGAACTTGTATGTCCTAAATGTATCCCTAAACTAACCTGAACCCTAAATGTATCCCTAAATCTAA